CTCTGTTCAAACTAGGATTGCCCCTTCTGTACATTCTCCCACTGTTCTGGCGTATAGCATTTGGGTGTCCAGGCATGGATAGCCGCAATTTCCGCCTTGAGCACGGAATTGACAAGCCGGTGTCTCGCCAGCATGTTTTTCTTATCGAATTGCGGAGAAACTATAATTGCCTGGAAGGCTTGGCCGCAGCCTCCTATGTGAAGTGAAAGATCACGGTCAGCTTCCCAATGAGTAATAGGCAAACCAGCCGGATTGTTACAGAGGCGAGGAGGGGAGGGGAAATAGAGGGGTTGTATTTGAAAGGAAGATGGAAACATACCAGACATATCTTCGATTTCCACATGTTGAGCGTCTAGCTTGGCAATCAGCGTGTCTTTGAGAGATGCAGAAGTGATGCCCGACGTATTTGTCGTATCTACCATGGTGGCGCTGACGGCACTGCGAGCGCTTGCTGTGAAATGGAACGATCTTTGGTGACGGAGGAGATGGAGACAGCTTCTGCTGAATATGCTCTGGCGGCGGAACATATAGAATTATTTTGACAATGAATAATTTGTTATGAGGTGAGAGCAGAGAGCAAACGCACGACGTGACCGTGGATATTTAACATATAACTAATGCATGGAAACAAGATGCCGAAAGGTTGGATCATGGATTAACGTGATCACCCACCTAACGATCACTCCCACCTAACGATCGCGATTTCCCATACAAATTGACAAAATTATCCACCTCATATATCAATCATTTTTAAATATATTTGATATTTTATTGGTAATTTATAATCTACTATCAAATCTAACTATTATAAGAAAATGATGATATAAAAGATTATATTATTCATTGTGTATTACATATATAAAAGTTCTAAATATTTCTTCATATAAATTTATATGAGATGTATTTGAATTACTAGCTGTATTTTTATATTTCTATGAGAAAAATGCTAGTTTCAGTAATATTTAAATAACTTTCTTAATATATAGTCTTTTTATATATAAATTGAAATTTAAATTAATTATATAATTTTTTAATAGCTGTTAGAATTTAATTGAAAAATATTGAATAGTTCTATTAATAACAATACAGTAATCTGAATACATCTCATATAATTTATATATGTAATTTATTAAGAAAATCAACTGCTAATACACTTTATAACTCAATAGATAATGCAGATTTTTAATATCTAAAAATTGTATAATCTACTATGTAGATATACATATATAAATTACATATTATATATAAATTTGATAGGGTTATTGTTGAGATTTATGTATCTAAGCATTCTTGATTTAGTATGCAAAATAGCGATCGTTAGGTGGGAGCGATCGTTAGGTGGGTGATCACGTTAGTCAGACAAGCCACTATGGCTATGGCGACCCTAGTGGCTTGCAGATAAAGATAAAACATAACCATTTCATCAACTGACTTTCATTCCCTCCAAAATATCTTTGACGATGACAATTTCGAGTTTCCCCACATACAAGACTAATGATCCGGTCTGTTCTGAGAAACTTTTCAACCATGGCTAGTTCCAATCCGACTTCATGTTCCCCTTTTACCAGAGCAGTCGTGAACTCGATGAAGAAGCTGTAAGCTAGCTCAGCTCGCAACAATGGCAGTAATGAGCTGCGTCGAGATTCTATTTTGCTCTGTTGGCTAAAATTTTGTCGTTGTGGAAGGTACCCAGAATGCTTAGCAGATAAATCTTTTGATAATACTGGCTGTGAGTTGGCAACCTTCCTATCGAAACTTATTATCAATTTAGATTGACTTATTGATAGTGCTCCTCGAGGCCCCATTCAGCTTCACAAGGCAAAAGAAGAATTCAGTTCTATTGACTGTTGACCTGACGAGGGCTGTGGCTGATGAAGCAATTGAGCGTGGGGATTCGGTTATCATTGCATACCGTACGTGAGCCAGCCTGGCAGATATCGCAGTATCCAGCCCACCCATCAACCTCGGATGCCATGTTAATGATAGCAAATATTTGGGCCCTTTAAAGTGAATAGACCCAATAATTTTCCGCGGCCTCAAGTCCCTCACTCTAAGTGATCCACAACAAGCCTCGCTCCTCCGTCTTGCCCATCACGGCATCAGCGTCTACTCTCCGCACACAGCAGTCGACGCGGTCCCTGGCGGAATGGCAGACTGGCTGTTAGACGTTGTCATGGAAACAAAGACTCCTCCACGAGGCCCAATTTTCTCTCAGGCCCGCAGCGCCATCTACCCAGAACAAACCCCACCACCTGGATTCGAAAAAGCCGGTAAGGGCCGGATAGCCAGTACGGACCGGCCCGTATGCCTGTCATCACTTGTAGACAATCTCATGCTCAACCTAAATAGGCCCTACGGCATTCCCATTGCGCTGCCACAGGGTAAAAAAGTACCTGACATGTCCAACATCCGCACCATTGCCACATGTCCCGGCTCGGGCTCGTCGATCCTTATAAAAAACGGGAAACCAGTTGCAGACGTTCTGGTTACGGGCGAGATGAGCCATCACGACGCGCTGGCTGCGATCGAGCATGGTGCTGCTGTAATTTCTCTTTTCCATTCAGATTCTGAGCGCGGGTATTTAAGGGAAGTCATGCGGGGATATTTGGCTGAGGCGCTGAGGGATGAATGGGATGCGTTACGAGCGCAGGAGGCGGCGACGTTGGAGGGGGGTGATGGTGATGGTGACATGAAGGATTGGCTGAGTGATCCGAATTTTACTGTCAGTGTTAGCGAAAGAGATCGGGATCCCTATGAGGTGTGGCCTGCGGCACTGTAATTGGGGCAGTTCTCATTTTGCGCCAATTGTTCGGTTCTTTCTCGCCAAATTTCCTTTGTATATTTTTACCTTCTCCTCTATGGAACATTGGACGCTACGGTATGCTAGCAAACCATGACAGGTTACTGAGTTGAATGAGAGGTTTGTTCGTAACCCTATCGAGATGTGATTAAATTAAATGGCTTTTGAATACTCCAACCTTTACGCAAGCCATTGAGACACATGAAGTTTTAAAGGATCTTGTTAACTTTCTGTCTCAATTTCCCAGGTATACAACCCACGGGCGCAGTGTAGAAATTATCAAGTTGATAAAACCCAACTCTGGATAGTGCTAACTCTACTCCGTAGCTAGAAATAATATATAACCTTAGTACCGAATTTAACAGCCAAGCTTGGCTCCAAGCCGCTAAACTCACACCAATCATTGAGACGGCTTGTCAATTGATAACAACCTTACCATAACTATAAATTTCTCGCCTGTGCAGTAACTTATGTTCCAACGCTTCCGTACATACACAGATCATAATAATAAATAGGGTCGATCCAAACAAGCGCTTGAGCATTTGTCAAAGCCTAACTTAATAGCACTCTGATCTCTCCAGTCGTCCTCGGGAACAAGCTGCGCAGTCTCCAATTATCCGCCTGCGGCTCTTCTCCTTCTCCTTCTCCTGCTTCCTCCGCTCCCACATCCTCACCATCCCCGTGTACAACTAACTTACCACGCGCCTCATCCGCCCCTAAAATCATGCCTTCCACAAACTCAAAATCAGTACAGAAAGCTTCGACGGCTTCTTCCGTCACGCTTTTTACAAGCACAGGGCTATGGATGGCTTTCAGGTTCTCTGTTACGTCGACTAGTGCCGAGGGTAGGAAATCATCAAGTTGTTGACTAATTGACGAGAGGGTTTGGGGTTGAAACTCAGGTAATGAGGAGATGGTTGCGAGATCAGGAGGGTAACTGGAGCGCGTGGGTTCTAGAGTAGCTGTCGCTGGAGGTGTGAAAGGTTTTAGCGCGGTAAGGAGTATGTGTAGTCCGGATGCATTGAGGAGGAACTCATGTTGGATCTCGAGAAGGGTTGTTCTTAGGGTTTTCAAGGTATTGGTGAGTTGAGGCAGATGCGTGACGCAGACGAATGGATAGGGGGATATGGCATCTCGGGTAGAAAGAAGACAGTTCACGTGGAAAACGGCCCGTGAGGTTGGGTCAGATATGTCATTCGATGAAGTCTTGGCTAATTCCAGAAATGGGTCCAAAGCCTCTCGGATAATTGGTGAAAATTTATTTTCGCCAGACGAATCGTTCGCATGTTCGTGCGCGAAGGAGGAGTCGTATGCTTTCATTAAGGAGGTAAGGTTGTCAAGTGCGTCATGTAGGAATTGGGGGGTGCTCAGGTCTGCGGGAGGTGTGAGGTTTGCAGGTTCGGCTGAAACCACAGCTAATTGATCCTGCATCAAGATTTGGAAGTGCTTGAATGCAAACTCCTGTAAGGAAGCAACCGAGGTTACTAAGCCAGATTCTCGCCCGAGAAGCTTCGAAAAAGTATTTTCGTAGAATGCCAGAAGGCCAATGATTTTGTATATCACAATAGAGTCCTCGTTGCCCTGAAGAACCAGCTCAACCCTCTGGCGTAAAGAACGAGTAACTCCGTTCAAGTCTCGGGTAACGAGGTCATTCAATGCCTTTGGACCGTCAAACACTATTTCCTCTCCATCAACACGCGACCACGGCTCGTTGTTTACTCCAGCTTGAATTCCTTTCGCAATTTCTCCTTCATCTCCTATGAAAAGAGCTTCTAGAGCTTCTCGTTCGGATACCGCAGCTGAATGCACCCATGCGAGCATGTCTCCTACATAGCGTAGCGGGTCATGTGCGGAGAACTCAATTGGCCTGGCTGCCATATCTCTTTCCTGACCAGAGGGAACATCTGTAAGGGCGGTATGGAAAGAATCGGAAAGAGTATACTCTCTTGCATCAGCGAAAGAATCGAGGCAGTTATGGAAGAGACTGGGTCTTTCAGCCAGTACTCGTAGCGCACGGCGAATAGAGAGACTGATCTGAGGATCTTCAAGATTCAGAGATTTGAACTCCTTCTGTATCCACTTATAGAGTTTCTGAAATGCACCGTTCAGATTTTTGGAGCTTTGCTCCATTATATCTAGCCCTAGCCGTTGGTTCTCGCTTCCTAGCAGGACTTCGCAATCCTTGTGAATTTGTTTCATACGCGCAAGAGCGTCGAAAAACAGGTCATCAACTGGTTTTGCGGATGACGTAAGGGATGAAAGCTCATCTTCAGACAATATAAAATGGTTATTGAACGCATCTAAAATTTTCTCCTTGGTCTCGACCTCCTGTTGCTGGCTCATTAAAATTGCTGCCTCTTCGAAAAGAGGTGCTGTTTCCTGCGTTGCTAAGACTATGTGCCTGCGCATCTCCTCGCATACGTTGGTAAGATTCGATATAGCTGTCCCGACTCTTTTGAGTTGCTACATTATTAAAATAGTTAGCACAGATCCTTTTTTGAATAAGGGATGAATTCTTGCTTTGACTCACCGCGGCAACTTTGCCAAAATCTTGCACGATCTTGCCATTGCTGTCAATAACCTCCCTTTGGACGTCAAGCTTCAGCTGCCTCCTCGTCTCTGGGTTATTCTGAATTCCCCTATCATCTAGGATCTCGAGGGCTCCTCGGATGTCGGAGTCGGCATACGACGCAGAAAGGACACTATTTAGCTTGTTGGAGAGTGCAGTGGATCGAGGAACTGCAGCCCCGGGTAGTGAGAGGAGGGATTGCCCTGCACCATTAGTTCCAGAGCTTGCTGAACCCGGGGAATTCGAAAAATAATTCGACATATCTTGGTAATCGTAGATTGACAACTGCCCGCCCTAATCGCCCGAATCGCTCGCCCTGTTCTAGTCTCGATATCACCGCGATTACTCGGACTAAATTTGTTCCGTCTCTCGTTCGGGAACGGAGAAATCTAACTTGAAGCTTGCCATTGAAACCCCGAAACTGCGACACCCTGTCTCCCAATAATAATCCGTGAATTAGTACTTATATTTTAAGCATTGAACGCTTTTCACTCGTTGACAAGATCGAAATGGATCCCGCGCCTCTGATCTCTCCGTCCAAAGCACGGCAAGCTGCCTCCCGCGCAAAAGACTGGGCATACATCAACAGCTGGCTCAACCGAAAATATTCACCGAATCCCGTGCCTCATTTTGAACGAAATGAGGACACCTTGAAAACGCTCCTCACTCTCGCTGCCGCCAATGATGCGGCAGACGATGAAGAAGTCCTCCTTCATACTGCGCGAGAAGAAACGATTCGCAATCTCCTAGCTCAGGAAGAAACGACCCCGGATTCCCCAACAGAGCTTCTCGACACTCTAGAATCGAGCCTTGATGATAAGGGAGCTAAGTTTTTGGATGAACTCGCTGAAGCCGCAGTACTGCTAGGAACCTTCACCACCAGCGTCAACGATCTCGGCCATCGGATCGTGGATCTTACAAGGGAGGAGTTTGATGCTGCTGACCAATTGCGCAAAATTGAACTTTTACAATCCTACCTAGATAATGAACTCGAATCGTTACGAACACAGATGAAGGAGCTTAGGAATGAAGAGAAATACGAAACCCCAGCGGACTTGCCCGTCCAAACCGCTGATTGGGTGAGGGGGACAAAGATACTTGGCGTAAAGATTGATGAATACCATAATAGAATTTCGACGTTTGAAAATATTGGAAAAAACAATGGGTTACGGATTGAGGATCTAATGGTCGAGGAAGAAAGTGTGGTTAGGCTGAGGGAAACAGTAAAGGCCGTGGAAGGCAACGTGAAAATGTTTTACAAAGAGTTACCCCCTAATGTCCAAGAAGCGAAGAAGGAACTTGAATGTATCGAGAAAGACTACCGAAACCTTGTACGCCAACGAGATACGATGTTCGAAAATTTGGTCGACCATGTTAAGTGATACTTTATACCCACTTCCCCGCAAGTAAAAGAACGAGAGAGGGGGGAGCATAACAAAAGCCTTTTTCAGGATTTATTGGTTGTCAACTCATTATTACGAATTCCTTTGCATACATAACATCGCACCTATACAGGCCACTAAAAGCAAACAGCTCAAAAACAATTTCCTCGCCTTTACAACCGTCTGGTATGCCAACCAAACCGAATGCTCATTTGTCCATTCCTAGAGCGCCCTTCACCTTATCACCCCTATAAAACGACCGAATCAGCGGGGCTCTTGAAACAGAGCACATGGAACAGGTTTCGGTGAAGCTTACATGGTCTGAGTAGCACCTCCTTGTTGGTTATCGGAGGTACGTTGAGCCTTGTCGAAGACTTCCTGGCCAGTGTCCTTCTGGTCATCAGGTTGAAGTCCTCTGCAATGATTGTTAGCATGAGGTTAGTATTGAGGAAACAAGGCTTTAGAAACTGACCGACTAAGGCGATCTTTTGCGTCGGTTACGGTCTCTTTCATTTTCTCCTGGGTTGACTTGGAAGAGTCGGGAGTCATCTCCTCCTTGGCCTCTGTTGTGTACAACGCGGTGGTCAGTCGAACACTATTACCAGCTGAAAGCATATTACAACTGCATAAAATTTGGCCACGTACTAGTTGTGAAATCCTTGCGTCCGGGATCAGACATGATCACTGGAAATTTGAAGATCTTGGTTTTAACTTCAAGAGGAGTATAAAAGATTGGGAGAAGATTTTTGAATGAAGCGCGTGTGCATTTGGCTAAAACGATGAGACCATCCCGAGGGATGTTCCCCCATTTTATAACATCTTGTGAAGGTTAGAATTACTTGCTTGGTCCTATGACGTCCTTGCCAGGAGGCAAAGAAGGGCCTACCAGAATCGAAACTCCAACATAGAAATCCCACAGCTCTCCTTTTCCCTGTTTTTGTTGCCGTGACGTAAGTATGATGCTGGTTTAAACCTCGTTATTATTCGCACGTGACGGAGCTTTTTGTTAGTGGGTATTAGGTACGGCTATGTAGGAGGATAACGTTCGTTGTTATTACTAAACTAACTACTCCGTACGCGAGAACAAATACATATTAGGCCACTAGGGCAAAAGAGCTCAATCACCACCAGCGCCGTGGTGGTATAGAGGGTACGAATCACCCAATCCAATCCCCCCAACACATATTGTGTTGCTCTCGCGTAGTTAGTTGTAATTGACAACAACGTTATCCTCCTACACTTTTTTCATCGGAATATACATACTCCGACAGCAGCTTTGGCTGGCAGAATAAAGGCGGTGTAACATGGCATCTTCGTGCTCTGTTTAGCATCGACTCATCTCTGTTGTTATCCCATCCAACTGGCTCCCCTCGAGTTAGCCTCGAGTCACCACCGTCTCTCTCTTTCCTTGCTCATCCTTCTTCTGTCCCTTCTTACGCCATAGCCATGACTCGCTCTCATAATTTTGCTTTAAAACGCTTTATCAGCGCCATCTGTTTCTGAACAACTTCATGGGCTTAACTTCCCTGCATCATCTCAGAGTTCGCGCCTGTTGCCATAATACCGGGCTTGTCCATGTCGACTTCTGGGACTTCATCCACGTGGGATTTTACCCCTGTTATTAATCTTCTCCACTCGTTTTCTACCAGCAACCAAACTGCAACAACTGTTGAACATGTTGCAATCGTAAGGACTCCACTAGAAACCGATGTCAACACCGTACGAGATGGATGTCAAAAGCTCGGCGATTTTGGGCCCCTTTGGGATTTGCTTTCCGGAGGGGACCTGCCCAGTGGATACCAGGCAACAGATGATGCCCCGCGGAACTCGAGCCACCTTGTCGGCCAGGAACAATACCCCACCAATTCACAAAACCCCAAAGAATTAGAGGTCCTATCTGGATCGAGAGAAAAGACAACTGAGAAACAACAAAAAATCAGAGTGCTACTTGAAAAGAAAATGGGAGAAAGCATCAAACATAACAACCGCATCCGGCCCCGTGGTTTTCCCCTTTCGGAGGCTTCCGATGAAGAGGATAAACCTCGCCCTCCCAGAGCTTTATCAATCTTACAGAATCCCCACAGACCTGTCGTGAATCAGCCAACCTCAGCCCTTGCTCCCCGGATCCATTCCCAGGATCACAGGCTACCTCCTACTAAATCTAATCGGCGTATCGAACCTCTTCTCCAGTGTTCTCCTGTTGAAAGGAGGCTGGATTTGATTGCAATGCTTAGTGCTCGTTTTCCAAAGAGAACGCGAATGCCTACTTAAACTTCAAGGGTCCCCTACAGCTCATTACAAACCGAATTATCATCCAACGGGTGTTCATGTTTTTGTTGACATCTCAAATGTATGGTTCAGGTTCTCTTTTCAATAAGAGATTGCTATAGCTTGACTTAAATTTCTTCTTACTGATGTTGCTTTTAGATTTCGGTGGGATTTCACGATTGCATTAAAATGGCTCGCGATGTACCCATCACCGTTCGGGTTCCTCGTGTTCCTCTATCCTTCCGCAACTTCGCACTTATTTTAGAACGAGGTCGATTTACCAGTAAAAGGGTTTTGGTCGGCTCTGACCGATTTCCGGCGATTGACGAGGCTGAAGAAATCGGCTACGAAATAAATATCCTGGAAAGAGTCCAGAAGGCGAAAGATGCCACACCGCGTAAGAAGAAATTCTTACGTGGAAATGGGAATAACCGTTGGAGTGGCGCCACGGGGAATAATACGCAAGCCCAGTCCAGTGGCTCTGAAACGACATCTGGACCCGGGCCGGAGCGATGGGTGGAACAGGGGGTAGATGAAATTTTACATCTGAAGATCCTGGAGAGTCTCGTCGATTCTGACGCGCCCTCCACCATAGTACTCGCGACGGGTGATGCAGCTGAAGCAGAATACTCAGACGGGTTTTTGAAGATGGTGGGGCGTGCGCTGCAGAAAGGGTGGGCGGTCGAACTCGTGAGCTTCAGCACTACCACGAGTCGCGAGTATAAGCGGAAGGGATTCCGTTCTCAGTGGGGTTCGCAGTTCAGGGTCATCAAGCTCGATGAATATGTTGAACACCTTCTAGATGCGTGACGAATTATACTGGGATTTAGGGCGGATAATTGAATTAATGGGCTGATAATTGAATTAATTCCTGGTTGATATGTTGTCGCGCATATCCTTGTGGGATTGAGATTGTCCCCGTGTTGGATCAGAGGATTGCAGGGATTGTGTCGTTTCGAAACAACAGCAGTCTCTAACATAGGCGGCGACTCGATATTTTGACAATTTATTACTTATCATTGTCATTTATATTGTTAAAGATAAAATCATGGATCGAAAGGTTCAGGGAAATCGTCAAGATCACCTTCAGGCTGTTATTATTGGGCACTCGATCTCAAGATGAGTGGGGCGATATGCAGCGAGCGGTACCTTTGGTTGCTGGCATAACTTCATGGCTAGCTCCAGTCAGGTGTTGCGACCGTGGGGTTAATTTCTGGCTAGAGCTTCCTTTCATCCTTTTACATGATGTTTATACATGTACAGACATCTATAGACACAATAGATACTCGTGAAATATGTGGGAAAGTTGTGCGGGTATGCCATTTCCCCAAGACTGCTTCTAGAGTATCTATTACAACACTAATCGTTCTATGATCGCATGGGAAATATCACTAAATCGACAGGTGTAGCATGAACGTAGATTCTAATTAAAAGATATATGTACTACAAGATCGATGGGATGAGGTGTACGGAATACTCCAAAGTTACTCACACGATTGGGTTGGCTGACGTAGTGTTTTAATTTAATTCTGTAAAATCGTCGCAGGTGTCTAATTCATCCTCCCCACTTCATCCATTTGTAGCCCAATAAAGCAAGGGAAAAAAAACAGGGACACCCGACAGTGAAAAGGAGGCAATTTCAAAATATAACAATTTGCCCCTCAAGGCCTTATTTTATTTCGTTTCTGAACACATTACCCCGACTTTCTATCCAAGCTCAAAGAACCGGCTCACGCCATCACCTTATGGAGCTTGAGAGTTGGCGTCTTTGATCTGTCCCAGCCCACCATCAACAAAACGATCTGCTACGTATAATTTTCCAGTGGATTCAATCCGTTCTCAATATCTCGACATCATTGAAGAACGGAAGCATTGAATGTATCCAGGGCTTCACAATACCTCAATATAAAATCCGTTGATAGTGCACCTTTATTCTCACCCTCTCCCGCCAAAACAACAAAAGAAACGCCCGCAGCTTATACTGCATCCAAAAGCACGACCAAAAAAGGAAATCGAAATAAGAGAAGGAAAATCAAATCATATTGAAATAAATATCTTAGGGAAAGCAATGGCAACATTCTCACCGAAGGACCTCTTTGGGGGTGCAATCGTTGTGGATTTGCCTGTCAGGTTTTTAAATGTAAGGTAAGAAATTGAAAAAAAAAAAAAAACAAAAATAAACAACAGACGTGGAATCCTGTATGGATTCTCTTCTTCGTTTGATATATTTCTATATTGATAAGTGATCTTGTTGGCGGTTAGCACATATATTAACTGCGAAGATGCTGCTGCATGAGTGTTTTTATACTTCAATTGTCCCCTAGCATGATACTTGATACTTGTTTTTAAAAAGAGAAACAAATGAAAGGGCCCAAATGGATGACTACTTCCTGTGGGTCAGTTCTGATCAACCTCTCGTCCCATGAATGCAATGCCATGTTACGCTATGCTGTACATGCATCTATCTGTCTTCCTATCTGAGCTATCTGCCAGCTTTATATCCGGTGCATGGATGGGGATGGGTATTTTTCCAGCGTTTTTTAAATTTCGGAACCCATCAATAACCAATAAAAATATCGTTACAGCGACATGCGTGAAGTTCCCGATAACCAGGAAGCTTTCGTATCCGACTCCACACGAACGAGCATCCTCATCGAGATAAACGAGAGGCTGAACCTCTCCCAGCTCCAACAAGGAGATCCTCAACAAGCTGCCGCGACCAGCAGCACCACCCGCGCCGGCCCCGCAACAACTCCATTCAGCTTCTCCCTGCCAAACACGACCAAGGACGACGCCGTAGCACAGGATCTACATGCTGCAGCTTTCCATCTCCACGAGATCTGCGAAATCAGCGGAGACAGCTATAAAATCATCGACAACCCCCAACTCATCCAGCTACCAAAGCTACCACAAGTGCCGGCCTATCTAGCAAAGGCATTAATTACGTCGAGTACTAGGGATGTACATGCGGCCGTGGCGACGTCCACTTGCCGTTTACTCCTAATCCGTTTAATGGAGAAGAGTACGGATATCATAGCGTATATCGTAGTGCCACATTCCGAGTTTGATGATGCAGGGGACCCACGCGCGGCGGCGCGCGAGGAGACATTTGCGGAAGAGGTAATGGCGAATGTGGTGGAGTCGTTTGAGATTAGGGATTATGGACTCTTTTGCTAGGTTTTTCTTTCTATCCTTCACGTTGGGGGTGTAGTTGTCTGGAATGGGTTCACTTTTTCCCTTCACCTTCTTCTTGTTGTCTCTGTTAGATGGGTATGGTCGTGTCAACAAAAAAAAAGGAAGAATGGGCAACCATGTGTTTGATTCTTATTTCCTGGGTCTTGAGAAATCAAAATGATGTCAGAGAATGGCTGACTTAGATTTATAGTTGGGATCGATTTCATGTCACAAAACAAGCCTTCCCTAAGGTTTAGTTTGTGCAGAACAAGAGAAAACGTTACCTGGCCACCTTTCTGATTCCCGCCTGAATGGAGTAGAAAAAGGAGTCCCGTAGAACTAAATTAAATCAGAATGATTGCTGGCTGCCGACACCGTCGGATGAATGCCTTGCACGGCGCTGAGGAATTGTGAGGCTCCTCCCGCTAAACAGGCTTGGGCGGTGTTTGTCATCCATCCAGGCGGCAAGATTCCCTCGATAAGCCCAACCAAGCTCCTGTCAAGCAACAGCGACACCAAAACAAAGGTATGTCTTTTGTCTTTCAGGCTCCAGTCGATATGACAGTCAAAGTTCCAGGTAATCCACGCGAATATATATCTTGCTCGCCGCTTGTCCCTTTGTCACTTTCTTCCCGTCATTAGCCTCCCAACCCAAACACCCCACATCCTATCGCCCAGCTCCTTCGAACTTCCACCACCGCTAGCCTTCGTTCTCCCAAGCTTCTTTCGGAAACGCCCCTACAAGTTAGAATAAATAGACTCGCTTTCATTCTGCGCATAACACTCCCTCCATTTTCATCCCCAAGTGACCTTCAACGCTCTTCACCACGCCTCCCCAAGTAAGGAAAAGAAAAGCGCTGCAGGCAGGGGTCGAATACACAATCAGGGACTCGAGATCAACAGGCACGGGACTTGATAGGGTTCCTGTTCAGAAGAGGGTCCGGCAGGCCCTCGAGGATTCGGGTGGCCCGTCTCCTGCCACTCAGCAGAAGGTCGTTGAACTTGCAACGCCAGCTACAACAGCAACGACTGTCAGTATGGACTCCGAAGATGACTTCATAAGTGACGGCTCGAGTCAAGGCGATATACTTGATATGCAGGGGAGTGATGACGAGAGCCTTGGGGACGGTAAGCTGATCATTCTAACTTCCTGTCTTATTTCATTCTTTGCTTCTTTTTTTCCCTTTTAAATGCCAGCCAATATGGTGTATATTCAATATGTTATTAGGGTCATCTTCTAACACTGTTGTGTCCTCCTACAGATTTTGGTGATGACGATGGCCTTGGCGGCTCTTTTTACGATAAGGAAATTGTCAAACAAACCCGAAAACCCTTTGAGGTTGAGTTTAAGGTCTTGAGTCCAGATGATATCAAACGGGAACAAAACGCTCAAATAAACGAGGTTTCTTCAATACTTGGCCTACCTCCAGAATCAGCAGCTATCCTGCTGCGATTTGGCCGTTGGAACAGGGAGAAGTTAATCGAGTCATACATGGAGGATCACGATAGAATACAGGAAGAAGCCGGTATTGGCTCGGCCTTTTCAGGTACTCCAGAGACAGAGGTCACCCATGGATTTATGTGCGATATTTGTTGTGAGGACGGGCCAGACATGGAGACGTATTCCATGCGTTGTGGTCATCGGTTTTGTGTTGAATGTTATCGCCATTACCTTGGCCAGAAAATTGGAGAGGAAGGAGAGGCTGCGAGAATACAGTGCCCCCAGAGCAACTGCCATCGCATTGTCGACTCGAAAACGTTAGACTTGCTGGTGACAGACGATCTACGGGACAGGTATAGTTCCTCTTACTTACATCTTACAAACCTTTTTTTTTTGTTGACGTAGAAAAGCTAACGTGAATTCCTCCGTACTGTAGATATCATCTTCTTCTAATGCGGACCTATGTGGACGACAAAGAAAACCTGAAATGGTGTCCTGCCCCAAACTGCGAATTTGCAATAGACTGTCCGGTGAAGAGACGCGAGCTTAATCGCATCGTCCCAACCGTTCAATGTAGTTGCAACCATAGTTTTTGCTTCGGCTGCACCCTTAATGACCACCAACCTCCACCCTGTTCACTTGTCAAAAAATGGCTAAAAAAATGTAAAGATGACTCTGAGACGGCGAACTGGATATCTGCCAACACCAAGGAATGTCCAAAATGTGCATCCACAATCGAGAAAAATGGTGGCTGTAATCATATGACCTGTCGAAAATGCAAGCATGAGTTCTGCTGGATGTGTATGGGACCTTGGTCTGAACATGGGACTAGTTGGTACAACTGCAACCGCTTCGAGGAAAAGTCAGGAGCGTCAGCTCGCGATGCACAGGCGCGTTCAAGACAGTCACTTGAACGCTACCTCCACTACTACAACCGATACGCAAACCACGAGCAATCTGCGAAACTGGACAAAGACCTTTACCTCAAAACCGAGAAGAAGATGACTAGCTTGCAGTCACAATCAGGGATGTCATGGATTGAGGTTCAATTCCTCGATACCGCGTCGCAGGCCCTTCAGCAATGTCGACAAACCTTGAAATGGACGTATGCCTTTGCTTTCTACCTTGCACGCAATAATCTGACGGAGATCTTCGAGGATAATCAGAAAGATCTGGAAATGGCGGTTGAAAGTCTTAGCGAGATGTTCGAGAGACCCATCGATCAGCTGTCCGCGCTGAAAGTCGATATCCTGGACAAAACTGCTTATTGCAACAAGAGGCGCATGATTCTGTTGAGTGATACTGCAGAGAACCTGAAGAACCGTAAGTTACATGCACGTTCCTCTCTTCTACACCATCTTTCCATTATTTATTTTCGATCATTCCAAAAGCCAGATATAGACTGGTGACTCATCAGCTGACTCGATTTATTTTCACGACAGAGGAATGGACCTTCACCGTTGATTTGAACGATTAAATTTGTACAACTCGTTCAAATCAATATCGCCAAGCCAAATCTCGAGATCCCGGTCGGTTTTCATGCATTCCATGATTTAGTTTTATATTTCATTTTTAATATTTCAACTATCCCCTTCCTCTCTTTTTATTTTCCTAAGTTGCTTCCCTTGTTTCCATTTTTCTCCAATTTTCGTTTCTTTCCGCATATTTTATTCCTAGCTTAGCTTTGATATATCGCAGGTAGAAAGTTAGAAAGTATCTTTGAGGTGTGGTTCGATGGACGGACCCTTTTTTTCCTTCTTTTCTTCTTTACTTTTGACTTCATACTTTGATGATGCTTCGATGTACGCATACGTATGCATAGCGCAATTACAGATCTTAGAAAACACGCAGAGTTAGGGTTTACTGTGGGTTGGGGATGGGCAAATTCTCCTTTCATTTCGTCTTCATGCATGGCATTTCAACCTGATTTCATTATTTATTTATGCGATAACAGCTTAAACCCACAACCATGGCATTCTTTATCATAGCGCTATCGTCAGATCCTATTTACCTTGCCAACCTTGTTATTCTGCCTTGGTGGATATTTTTTCGCCTTGTGCATGTGTAGGTGTAACGTGGCGTTATTTCCACATATCTTGATCTACGGTAATATCGCCAGATGAAGATTAAGTTAGAGTGATTCTCACGAATTGATTTCTTTTTTTCTTTCTGTTTTGTTAATACAGTAACTAAATAGGGAAATAATATCAGTTGAAGAACCTCAGGCAGTGTAAATACAGGTAAATGTGTGCTTTCGTCCAAATGAGGTATGACCCCCTTCATACAAGCCTTAGATGAAGCGCCCTTCACTCCTCTAGACGATTGATCCTGAGATAGTGCACAATACAAGTTCCATAAGTTTCCAAAAAGAAGAAAAGGGGGGGTTAAGTTTGCCATGCCCAGTTTCAGCTCCAAAGTTAACCTGTGTAGAATATGTCACTGGTATGCGATTGAGAGTTTGGATTGTTGGGTGGATATGGGAGAATGGGTAAGAAGTAAAAGTATGCAAAATAACGGCCGCGGGGATGGTCATTCTTATTTTCTTATGTGGTATCAGCTTATAGAGTAGAAAAGGAAATATCAGTAAGCCCTCCAGCATGTTAAGCCTCAGCCGAAAAAGCGTTCGTTCACTTCTTCTTCGAATTTTCCGAGCTCGCCAAGAAGGCAGCCACGGATCGATCGATTGCGTCTTTCATATTGACCTCCGGCCGGTAGCCCAACCGCTTTGTCGCCTTGGAGATGTCAAATGTGCGGGTCATGGTGAAGAATCTCACCATTTTCCGATTGAGTTTCGACTGCCGTCTCCCGAAGCTGGTGAGCCACACGGACCACTCAACCAACACGGCAATCGCGTAGAAGACAAAAGGCGGAACAACCCACGCTTTCGTGACAGGATATCCGGCCGCAGCGGACACCGCATGAGCGAAGTCCCAGAACGGCCAGGGTTCATCATTGGTAATGGTGAATGCTTCACCATCAACTCGCCCATCTCGCGGCGTGGACGGACTGAGCAGCGCTTTCGCAGCGAGAATATGGGCGTCCGCGGCATTGCCGAGATAGGTGTAGTCGCAGAGGTTCTGGTTATATCCGACTTGCAGCTTGCCGCGCCCTTGTTGCGCGTTCTCGACAATCTTAGGTATTGATGTGATATCACCCTCTCCAAACAAGATACAGCCACGTAGTGCTGCGGTTTTATACCCGTGTTTCCTGTTAGCAGCCAGAACCATATCCTCCGCCACTGCCTTGGTATGAGTGTAGAATTCCTTCTGTTCCGGCCAGTAGACCTTAGGCGCATCCTCCGTTGCGTTCACGATATCTGTATAATTGTTGTGAACAACGGACGAGCTGGACGTATATACAACGGCTTTGACGTGGTCCGTATCACGGATGGCATCAAGCAGGATACGAGTACCGTCGATATTGACTTTTTCAAAAATTTCATTGCTGTTTTTCTGGTCCATCATAACGGGGGATGCGGTATGAAAGATGACTCGTGGTTTGGTATCCTGTAATACTCTTTGGACATCTTCCCGAGAAGTGATGCTGCCTCGAATGTAATTGACCCCCGGATAGTTGTTTCGGTCAATATTCAGGTCGAAGGACGTAATATCTGAGGCGGCCTTCTTCTCAAGCAGTCGCTTCACGATGTGATGGCCGAGGCCACCGCAGCCACCAATGACAAGCACGGGGTCCATAAATATTGGAGATTCAAGTATGGAAAATGCGACACGCAAAGTCGTTGCAATATAGACCAGGAACCTAGGAAAGTGAAGAGGACAGACAGAGAGAAGCTGCACAAGTACTCTTTGCAGTCCTGGCCGAATGGCCTGTTATTATAACAATATATTAATGTTGCATTTGTGCTAAAGGCGCCAGGATCGTGTCAGCGTCAGCCTGGTTGGCAACAGGGAGGTTACACGCCGGCTGAACCCCTCGGGTCACTGAGCTGACCTAAGCTAGTTGTAGGAGGATAGTTAACGTTGTTGTTATCCTCCTACGGGTTATGGCCCTTAGAGAGCTACGAAGAACCGCTGCAATAACTTGCTAATAATGTCTCCACGTATCGTTAACGCGTGTCTAGACATTTCTTTTGTGATAATTAGATCTGAGATCCGGTAGAACGCCTGCCCGGTTTGATGAATGAATACGCACTGACGTGTAGAAGAAACCCGGTTGAAGGCTGGATGTCAGGCAATGCGGGTGACCAAAATGGTCAGAATGGTCGAGGTGGCCAACAAGATACTGGTTCTGCAAGTGCAGAGACTTGCATGAGATTAGAGATTGCAAGACTGGAGCTTGAGATTGAGCAAATGAGAGCTGGAAGGATGAAGTCCTCAACTAGCAGCACTGAAGGGCTCAGTGTAGATCTGACAGAGTATCTGTAACAAAAGGGAAGAACTTCTGCATTGATGAGAATCCTTGGGGAATTCAGAGATCAGGTTGGGTATATACAGCAACCAGCAGCAGTTCTTACAGGCATTGTCAACTACCCAGTGTGGAAGAAAGAGATACTCCTTGCAGCGAGGCAATCTCACACAATTGATATCATAGATGGAAGACAACTTGGACCCAATGAGGATGCCAGCACTGATATGCAATGATTCTGGAAAGAACCCAAAATGTGGCTGTATAACCACATGTGGTTCGCAATCACTCCACAAGCAAGATCTTATTTTTTTACACCCAAGGAACAATCTGCCTATGCTCTGTGGACATAGAAGATATCTTTGCTGGGCGGCCTGCCAGCAATGCTAATGATGATATTGGTGATGATATCAGTGATACCAGTGATGATAGTGGCTACGGCAGTGTGGATATCGATATGGATTCCAAGATGGAATGTTTGGATGAATTGATGGAGGATGATCCTACAAGCGATAACAATCCTACAAGCGATGATGACCTTGATACCGATGGCGACCATGATATGGATAGGGGGGTGGGCACCCTATACCTACCAATACAATTGTGTGAAGAGTGATCTATGTGATCTATGTGAAAGGATGGGTGGTAGATGGGGCAGTCCCTACCACAAAGAACATGGATATGCCCATGGGGGGGGGGGGGTGGATTTTCAAATACAACTTGGCTTGATTTGATGATAAGTCATATGGAACAACCTTGTTGAAAAGAATTGGGTTAATAGAAATTGGCAAGAAGGGGGAAGGTAATGATGGTATGGCAGATTAACTAGTTAACTAGTTATATTAAATAATTTAAAGAACTATACTCTGTATATTGAATTTATATTGATATAAATATATATATTCTCGAACGGTAGGTTGTTGAAGTTCAAAATATGTGCCATTTGACCAGCGAACTTGACAGTGGCAATGGACCAACCTTCCACCTTCGTCCGTTAGCATTATTGTTGATATCATATGTTGCAATCAGCGAGAGAGAGCTTTTCTTTTACCTTACAGATTTTGATAACTATTGCATGCAAGGCTTTAACCTCCGATCCAACGAGATTGGAATCCAGCAATGTTTCTGCAAAAGCCCGTCTTGTGTGAATGGGACTTGATAGGTGGTTGGAAAGACTACTAGTATTTTTCCGTCTAAGGACGGCCTTCAGTAAAGGGAAGGGAATAGGAAAGAAAGCACCGTGTTGTGTCTGCCTTGAAACAGCCAATGAAGGAAGCCACTATGTGAGTCAATATCTCTATCTCTATCCACGTCAGCCACTAACTCATCAGAAAACTAGTAACTAGTCCTACGAGAAATATTATAAATATCACAGGTTTTTGTACTACTATCGCTAAAACAAGACCCAGATTACTCTCAGCAAGTCTGTTATTATTCCCTTTCTTCTTCAATTGATTTTTGGGGCAACTAGAGAAGAAGCTTGAAATGAGAGTGAATCCGTTGTCAACTCACTCCTAAAACCTCACCCGGTGTGTAGTCATGGGCTTCCACCAAGTTCTACTTATCATGCTTTAATACAAGCTGTGATTAAAAGGAATCTGCGAATAATATGAGGCTTGTTTTATTACGAATTTCAATCTTGAGATGTGAAATGTTTTATTTCATAGTTCGCATTTTCAAACTTGTCAAAGTCTGACAAATCAGAGTGACTGCGCGTGCGATGTGCTGGCGCTGGGCACGTCTACCCGGACTTGAACAGTACATGTAGTATATATGGACATTCGGGATTGATATTAGACAAGTCTGTTGGATCCACGGTTGCAGTGGGGACGGATTAAGGTTATCTTATCAGATAAAGATTAGATTGATATGGGAACTTTAATTCCTCCATAGATGGACATACATGTACACTGTACATTGTATATCGCCGTATGTAGCGCAACGGACGGACCACGTCAGGGAGGATACGTCACGTATAAATCAATCACTAGGTACTTGGATTGGTGGGGTCGGCAATAACTGCAATTCAACTACGCAGAAATGCTCAGTTTTAACTTTCACCGACTCTGAAATCGGAGACAGCTACAATGCTATAGAACTCCCCGAGTGTGAATACATTTGCATGAGAACACAGTTTAAACTGGATTTTATAAGCTATGCTCCCATTCTTGACAAATTCCCCGGAACCCACTCAAGGTCGGTGATTATTCCTGAATCTCACCTCTTTTTAGGTATGGTATGCATGTTTTGAATTTTTGTTAGGCGAAGCATGTCTTTGGGAGAAGTTCTTCCACAGTCCGTATGGTATGGTATACTGTACTGGAGGAATGATGTCCGCGAACCTGATAAAAAATTGTCAACGGAGCCGGAAGGATGTCACCTTTGCTTGGGAAGTTCAACTACTTATGTGGGGGGTTGACAAATAAACTAGTTAGTGGCTTGGTGGGAACCCTTGAGGATAACCAACTAGCTCAGGCCGAAGACATACACTGTAAATATCAATAATTCTTCCGGGAGCCTAGGCAAGGATTTGGCCGACTCAACCGGGATTGGCGAGTACAGTACATGAATTTTTCCATGAATCCACCATCTCTTCTGTATTTTTCCTGCAAGAGGCTGTTTATATAGGTAACTCAGGAAGTTCAGGAAAAAAAAAAAAGAAGGTAATGATAGCCATAATATAAGATTCTGCTGTCGAAGTCGTTCGCACCTCAACTTGAATGCTTCCAGGGAATGATTTCCAGTGATGCCGGGGTGCGGCGAGCAGCGAAGCTAACCGCGAATGTGGAAGGTATGGGCGCGTGCGGGTGGATCTGATAAGACGGATTTTCCCTTGCCAAGTTGTCTCTCTCCGCCGTCTAGGATTCTTTATCAAAATATCAGCAGTAATGGCGCAGATTTGTCGCAATCAGCCCCCAACGAAAATTATTATCGTACAAAATGAGAGGTTCATTATTATTTTACTTTTAGTCAATCGAGCATATGGAGATCGAGCAGCGAACGGGGTTCTGGTTCTAGCATTGGAGGAAAATTTGTTGTATGGAATAAGGTTTTATTTGCATTTACGAACTGCAACTTCATATATACGAACCAAAGCCCATGGGCGTCATCGTTGACCTGTCTTCTATGTCTGCATATCATCTCTATGTCTGCATATCATCTCTTTAAATCCTCCCGTTGTCTTTTGCCCATTTTGAACGCACGATTCAAAGGGAGGTTGCCTTTCAAGGGCGCGCGGTGTCAACTGTTCTGGTTTAATGACGGAGATGAGCCAACGGAGCGGGTTGCCAAGCACTTAAGTAAATTCCCGAGAATCGGAGCAAGGCTTCGGGTGTCCATTCATTTCCCTTCCAGGTGTGGAGGTAACAAACAATCATTGGTGATGGTAAGGGTGGTGGATGCTAGTCAAAACCCGGTAGCTGATATCACGACAATGGGAATTTTTGGGGGCGCTTCGAGCTGAAAAATGGGGTGAATCTAGAGTCTAGATAGCCTGTAAATGGTGGTTAATGACGAAGAACTATTCATGCTGGCCCAAGATGATGTTTGTGGAGAGCGTTTACGTGTGACGCAGGGTGAGCTGAGAGAAATGAACACCGCACAGGCGCTGTTATCCAAAAAGGTAAGAGGCAGCCCATCTACTTTTTCGAACGCACGAAGAATACAAAGGGTACGGAGTAAACCCGGTCAACTAAAGATGGGCCTCGTATCAATGGCGTCGGGGGGTTGGACAGGCCTGGAGCAGCAAACCCCGGGCATGAGCTTTAGCTGAAGAAAAATTAAATATAACCTAGCAACTTACCCCAAACCGTAAACTCCACTCCGCCACAGGATCCAAATTTCAACTTTTTCTTCGTTTTCTCAACATCCGCTGCTCGTACATAATATGCCCCGACTTTCCACTCTCAAGAAACACACTTCCCCTTGATGTTATCCGTATACAGTAGCTGATTGCACCTGTCACCTCACTATTTGGCCTAATAACAACCGCTGCATTTCCTTCGCCACCGTGTTACCCTCTGAAGCGACTCCATTCACATCCAAACCTCCGCCGTCCGCTCCTCTTTCCTCGACCACGTCTCTCCTCCCTTTAGACACCGTGAGGGTCCAAGTAGAGCCAGGCAGCTCCGGCTGCTCAAACCCGCCTTTCATGGCATCTCCAGACAGTGTTCCGGCTGAAGAATATGAGTATGCTTTTTTCCTTCGTTGTCCCATTTTCGCATCAATAAACGAGGAATCCGTTTTGTTTTCGGCCAAAAAAAAAAATCATTTTTTCTTCTTCGAAGGCCCATTTTTCAAATGTTTTACCTCTTCAAAGCTAACGTCGCCGATTTAACTTGTTTTCTCTGGGTGTATCTAGCTATGAAGCCCTCCCGCCAGAGTACTCCCTTGGACGTAATATGTTGGCTGGTGCCTTCGCAGGCATTGCGGTATGTGCTTGGTGACCAGGTGTTTCCTGAACGGAAAACAACGTTTTGTGCACTCTTTGCTCCTGGATATCAACCAATTGCATCGGAGCTGACAATGGCATTGTAAAGGAACACTCTGTCATGTATCCGGTTGACTTGCTCAAGGTAGGCATCTATTCTAGCTCTTTTCTTTTCCTTTTTTTTCCCCCCACTTCCTGTTACCCATCTTGATTTTTCTTTTCTCCGCCAGGGGGCTGTAACATAAATCTTAGCTGTCGGCTGAAAAATCATTACATTTGTCTGCTGTCCGCGAGTGGTATGTGCAGAACCGTATAATTGTACCAATTTTACTGACTGCTTTCTGCCCTATGTAACGTTCTAGACTCGAATGCAAGTGTTAAATCCATCTGCTGGCGGGCTGTATACGGGCCTCAGCAACGCTGTCACAACGATCTCCCGGATTGAGGGCTGGAGGACTTTATGGAAGGGTGTGTCGAGTGTGATTGTGGGTGCTGGTATGGAAAATCCCCAATTGCATTATCTATATGAAAAGCGCGTGCGACGAGGATCGTCTTCGTGGATTTCAATTTCCTATGAGAAATGGGTACTGATTTGGAAATTTCTTCGAATTAGGTCCTGCTCATGCTGTTTACTTTGGAACATATGAAGTGGTTAAGGAGCTCGCGGGAGGCAATGTTGGAAGTGGCCATCATCCATTCGCGGCCGGTACGCATCCGTCCCACAAGCAGCTCTTCCAATTCACTGGGGGAACCAGAATATATCGCCCTTGGGAATCTGCAGCGGTGGTCGACTATATATTGTGACTGACATGCGTTCTAGGATTGAGCGGAGCCTGTGCCACAATTACGAGTGATGCCTTGATGAATCCATTTGACGGTATGCCAAACCCCAAGCCACGAACAGATCCGCCTATCTTGAAATTTTGCAATGCTGATACATTAAACTCTTGTAGTGATCAAGCAACGCATGCAGGTCCACGGCTCCGCGCATAAGACCATGATCCAATGCGCGCGTACCGTCTACCGCAGCGAAGGAATTCGAGCATTTTACGTCTCCTACCCTACAACGCTATGCATGACGATTCCATTCACGGCCACCCAGTTCATAGCCTACGAATCCATCTCGAAAGTCATGAACCCTTCAAAGGCTCACGATCCCTTCACCCACTGTATCGCTGGTGGATTGGCTGGTGCTGTCGCTGCTGCCATTACCACCCCGCTTGATGTGATCAAGACAGTGCTACAGACCCGGGGTACTGCAGAAGATATTGAGGCCCGTTCTGCTCGCGGCCTGTTTAACGCGGCGGGAATTATCAAACGCCAGTATGGCTGGTCTGGATTCATCCGCGGAATACGCCCAAGAGTCATCGCCACCATGCCCAGCACCGCTATCTGTTGGTATGTTGTGCTCGATTTGTTTTATACATATCTTTTTTTTTTTTCTTTTTTCAATTCTGTCTCCGTTTTCTCATGCCTTTTTATCTACCGAATTTATCTTTTAACAGTTTAAAATAACCAGGACTTCATACGAAATGGCCAAGGCATACTTCAAGCGACAAACCGTGTCCGAATCGCTCACGTGAATACCGACATCCTCGACCGTCTGGTTTTGTTGTTTAACTTGCGACTCCATACAATCGATCGACCCATCATCATCATCATTGTTATCTGCGCACGCGAGAAACAACCCAACACTTGCGTAGAGCAGCACACGCTGGCACGCACAGCTTCTGAAAGAAGAAAAGTCCGTTCTGCGGTCCTCCCCTTTTTGTTATCTTTTACTCTTGGCTGTATGTGTCTTTTTCTCCTACTTGTTTATCATATTTGCAGTTACCCCAAAAGAAAGGGTGCGTGATTCACGCTTGCTCTTGGTTAGATCTTTGCCTTCGGATTGGTTTTATTTCTTTAATTTCCCCCCCAGTTTCTCATTGCGCGAGCACATTCCATATTTTCTTACTTTATTTGTACTTTTTTCTCTTTTCTTTTTCCTTTTTTTCCCCCTTAACCTAACCGATCGCAATACGTATTAGTGGGGCGTTTTTGGGCACGGGAAAAGAACGGTTTTTTTTTCTAGTAAACGCCGGGACAGCGAGTGGCATATCTCGTTCTTTCAACAGAACATCTACTCCGTCTCTCTTCGGCGGTTCCCAAATACCTTGTCATGTGTTTTGTCATGATTTTTGTTCTTTTTCTCTTCATTAATGGGGGGTTTCATTATCATCTCATTTTGATCCCGTGCATCTTCTTTTTTTTTCTTCTCTTTCCAAGTTGGTACTATTTCATTTTTTCTCTTTATCCTGATATCTCATATTTTCTTCCTTTCTTTTCAACTCACTCTTCCTCATCCTTCTACTTTCCGTCTGGCGAATTTTGTCTGTCCATTTACCGTGTCGATTTGGAGAAATAAGCAGATGGCATTGCATTTCGTTGTTTTATTTTATCCCAAAATAATACTCATAGAGTTGAATATGGGCGAGCGGCTTCTTAGAGGCATTCCTAATGCCCACGATGCTGTCTCAGAGGCTGTTTTTTTTCTAAACATCTTCATTATATATATTCCTACTTGAACGCTCGTTGTCCCGTTATCTTTGCCCTGTTTCTTTCCATCTAGGAAGAGATCATATTTGGGTGGGCATTTGCAGTTTTTGTGGTTTTTTGCGGTTTGTTTGGTTTTTTTTTTATGCAACCAATTGAATAGGGCTTCTTTCTGGGCGGTTGCAGGTGTACCCGTTTGAAGTATATCCAATGTTATTTTCCATTTATTAGTCTTTTTCATGATAATTGGACCATCCGAGATTTTTTTTCTGAAATGCACGGAAAGAGTATGTGTATAGATATTGAGCAGGTTGCCTCCTGGTTTTTTTGAATTAAATAAAGGCTTTCGTTAGGATTATTAAATCAGAACTACAGTCAAATGTCAGACAGCCAGTATATACTCAAGAGAAGCAGATAAATGTAAGTGTTGACGTAGATAGCTCTCCGCTGATCCCGCCCACATCGCCAGCTGCCAGAATCCATGACGGATGCCAACTTGTCCGGCAGCTTCATGGCCTGCAGAATTCCAATCTCAAACAATATCTACATGCACCAATTCCTCCCCACTCCCAGGGCATCTCACCAACCTCACCCGAATCATTGGTTACTAGTCTCCCCGCTACAGGCGGAGGAAGCTCCAACGCCCACGGCGGAACAGGTCACGGGTCTAGAACCACCAAAGTTGAATCTCCCCTCCTCCATTGAACAACAACCAGGATCCCCCGCCGTGATCGCCAAATACCAAAAGAAATCAAAGCGAAGCTGCAAGGACAGCCAGTTGTGGAAGATCACCCGGAACAAATCAGTTTCTTACTTTCTTTACATCCCGAAGGGCAATAGAGGCAAATTTTTCGCATATTGCAATAGCCTCAGGCTGTTAAGCTTCACATGGCGAGATTGGCCCTACCCCCTCTGTCGGGCTAAATGATGCGTTCCAAACCCTCGTCTGCGATGCAGAAAACTTACGATGAATGCTACCTGATGTGCTCAACGGCGGTGTTTTTTGAAGGCCAGGTGCGTGTTGAGTCTGGCTTGGTGACATTGGCGGCCTCTTGTCACAATGGTTTTCCCAGAAGCCCCACCCTTAACCTGTGGTTTATAATATACCTCCCTCTCCTCTCCTGCAAATTGCTTCAAGCTGACTTTTCCGGTCTCCTGTACTATCTAGAATAATGAGGCGGAAGCTCTTAGATCATGGCGCTCCGCCCTCCAAACGCTAGAGCACCACAACGCCTATAGAATGTCCAAACATTATATCCCCAAGACTGAAACCGAGAAGGCCCTCCACGATTCGCTGCGCGACTTGGAGCTGCAATGCAAGGAGCGCATAGATTTGCTAAATGCACTGAGTGAAAGCCGTAAGGAAGCCGGCTTCCTGCAGGTGGCGCCGAGCGCAGCCCTTGGGGAACAGGAAATTGGGAAGGTACAGCTGAACGAAACCGGTGCGGTGTCTAGCTCGCCCACGACACCCGGCTGGCTTGCAGATGGCACAGTACCGTCATTTACTTATGCGCAACTCTCACGGCCACCTTCACGAGCCTCTGCTCCTGTGTCCTATAGGAGAGCGTCATTGCCACAGAGACCGAGCGGAGATTTGCTGCTCAGACGACGATCAAGTGAGAAGCCCGCTCATGGATGCAACTCGACTTCCCTATCTCCGTCGTCTCCTCAACCATCTTCACCATCGGTGAATACACTGTCGAGAATCTCAAGCCCGGAAAAGAGAACCATGTTAACGACCTTACGGACCAAGGACCCTAAGATGAGCTCCAGTTCGAGGGATAAAGATACCGGTGAGCGAACCGAACGAGCTGAGTCCCGGCCTGCGCTATCGGCATCTAGGGCTGCGGGTTTAGCATGGAGTTCTATTTCCCGCTTGTCCAGGTCCGGTGCTGCAACAGCTACACCTAAGAAGAGTCCAGCCGTCGATCCCAGCTCGCGGAAGGGTCTTTTTTCCAGTAGCGACATGTCTCGACAAACCAAAACATCCTATCTCTCAGACTACCTCCGGTCGTCTAGTCCAACGGGATCGCCACAGCAGTCCCGAACTCAACAGCCTGGCTCATCAAGCACTCTTGCCGCTGATGCTGCTGCTACGGCCCTCCACACATCCAATTCCGACCTTTTGATTGACCTGTCCGAACCCCTGCCTCCCATAAGCCGTACAACTTCGAATACAAAAGGCATATCACCTAGCACCCCAACACCGTTCCCACCCCCAAAACCTAAATTTCAATCCGATTATTTAAATCTAGGTGGGCATCCGGAGGAAGGGCCACCTTCAGGATGCGGCGCCACGTTCGCTCAAGGAAATAATCCCATCTCCACTTTGCCGCCCCAGTTACTTGGAAATAATACTGGTGAGGGATACATGACTCCGATGAGACCTGCGACAAGCACGACGACACCTGTTCCTCAAAATAAGGGTCGCGGTTCGAGCTATTCGAATTCCCAATCACCGGTAGGTAATGACGATGCCTTGTGCAGCACGCTTAGTAGTATGCCCACCAACGCTGTCCGTACATCATTAATAGCGCGGGGGACCAAGCCCGAGGTGTCGGGGGCAGAATTCCATACTCAACCAAACAACCCCTTGTTACCGAAGCAACACGTTTTATCAGATACAGCAGAATGCAGTAGAAGCATTGAAAATGTCATGAAGAACCTCCCCAAGGGCATTGATGAGAACGCAGCACGGCAAATCCTAAATGATATAGTGGTTAGAGGAGACGAAGTCCACTGGGACGATGTTGCTGGGTTGGAAGTTGCTAAGAACGCACTCAAAGAAGCCGTCGTATACCCTTTCCTACGTCCGGATCTATTTAGTGGGCTCCGTGAACCTGCTCGAGGAATGCTCCTCTTTGGGCCTCCGGGAACGGGGAAAACGATGCTCGCCCGATCCGTGGCTACGGAATCCCACTCCACCTTTTTCTCCGTGTCCGCATCAAGCTTAACATCAAAATGGCATGGTGAGAGCGAGAAACTTGTGCGTGCTCTTTTCGGACTGGCAAAACACATGGCTCCATCTATCATCTTCGTTGACGAGATCGACTCGTTGCTTTCCGCGAGGTCCGCGTCTGGCGAAGCAGAAGTATCCCGACGAACCAAGACGGAGTTCCTCATACAGTGGTCGGACTTGCAACGAGCAGCGGCTGGGCGGGAGCAAACGGAGAAGGAGAAGAAGGATGGCGATCCGAGTCGGGTGTTAGTTCTTGCTGCGACGAATATGCCGTGGGATATTGATGAGGCTGCTAGGAGGCGGTTTGTGAGGAGACAGTATATCCCGTTACCAGAACCAGGGGTGCGGAAGATGCAAATTGAACGCTTGTTGAGCCATCAGAAACATGATCTATCGAATGAGGATATCGAGACTCTTGTTCAGGCTACTGATGGTGAGTCTTTTGCCTGACACATCTATCATGTTTCCTCCCATCTATATATAACCCAACCCATTTTTAAAACAATCATCTTTGCCTAACCTAAGTGACAAAACAATAGGCTTCTCCGGCTCCGATATCACCGCCTTGGCCAAAGATGCTGCCATGGGCCCGTTGCGCAACCTAGGTGAAGCCCTCCTATATACTCCCATGGACCAGATCCGGCCCATCCACCTCGCAGACTTTGAGGCGTCGCTATGTTCTATACGACCCAGCGTTAGCCGCGAGGGCCTCAAGGAGCATGAGGACTGGGCAAAGGAGTTTGGTGAGAGAGGTGGTTAGGGGCCCAGGTAGGGCCTTGCTTTTGCCTGGTTTGTATCATAATCTCATTATGGCCGGAGACTGCACTGGCTTAGCTTTGGTTTTCCTTCTCTCTTTATGTATTCCCGCATTGTGGGTGTTCGTTTACCATTTATTTGTTATATTTTATTCTGGCAGCTCCGTCATCCGATCAGATGTCTGTATATATGGATGCGCCCTTTGGCGTTGAGATGTCCTCGTTTTCTTCATTTCTGTATTACCACCCTTTCCTGCCCGTTGTCTGTACAACCTTTCTACATCTGAGTAGTGATCGATGTGCCTTGATGTTACATGTACGGGAAAGATGGGTGACACACAGTTTTTGTTTTGCATGATTTTAAAGTTGTGGTATGTCTTCCTGGGCTTAGAGAAAAGGTTTATCGTTCTAATATCGGCATTGGCTTTTCTGGGGAAAGTTCCGAGTGGTCTTTTTATCCACTTCCGGACCCTAAATAAGTGGACAAAATACGTATATAGTGAAGAAAAGGAGGCAAAATCGCCAAGATGTATATACAGAGTAACAAAGGAACGAAGTGTATGAATTCTTGAAAAGGGGGAAGAAGTGGTGTCGTCCAAACACTATATAACCGGATGTATTATACTGTACATAGTTGCAAAATAAAATGGAGAGATAGCAAGAGAAAAACGAAAACCGTCTTGTACAATTTTTATAAGAATGCTTACTTGATCCTCACCAACCGTGCCTCTTTCCCAACAGCATCCATACATCCGTTCATTCAATCTCCCAGCCCAAACAAAAATAACTCTCCAGAACTCCCACAACCCAACCCCGGCCTACACCAGCCCCCATTTTTTTTTTTTTTTTTTTTAAGTCCCACGCCTCTCCTTCTCGATCTCCAATCTCTTCCGAACCAACCTCTTAATCCTACCAATCCCAATAATCTTCTCCGCCTTCTCGTCTCTTTCCGCCTTCAACGCCTCCCGCTCATGCCGGCTAAGGACCCGGGGTCTCTGATCCACCGGCACGCCGAACGGCGCCACAATCCTCTCCACGACGTGGCGCACATTCTTGCTCGTCCGCCACCCGCTCGAAAACTCAATCACGTCGCCCTGTCGCAGCGAATTGCAAGGATCGCTGACTAGATAGACCGTGCTGGCCGGGTAGGATTTGTGGAGTTTCTTGTGGAAGGTTGTGTGCTTGTGCAGGACGCGGACGGTTTTATCCATCCGGCCGGCGGTGAGGACAGTGCCGAATTTTAGGGAGTAGCGGGGTGGGGTTGTGGTCGTTGTGGTCGTGGCTGTGTTGGCTGGTGGTGTAGATGCCAGTGGTGGTGGTGGTGACACGGGCGATGAGGATTGGACTGCCTGTTCCCAGGATTGCTTGGAGGTGGTGAAGGTTCGGAGGGTTATTTGGCGGTTGCCGGGCCTCAATTGCACGGTTGGTATTATAGAGGAAAGCGAGGTGAAGGGATGGAGTGTTGCGCGATTGCTCGGGATAAAATGAGATGAGTACGTGGAGGCGCGGAAGAGGACGGTGTTTGGAGTCATAGTTGCGTTGTTTGGGCCTTGGAGGGCCACAATATTTCCCTCTTATGGCGACACACTCTCAGTCAGAGGATGTAAGGGGCATATTAGTCGGATTCTCAGAGTCTCTGTCCTTTCTGGTCGTAATTGAGGTTTATGATATGGGTTTGTTCACTAAAAGGACACCACGGTATGAATATGGCTTTGGGTTGGTCCTGCGGAGTCCAATTGGGCGGATTATCCCTTGCGCGGAAATCACTCAAGATTGTGGACAATCTGAAAATGGGGATTTAATTTGAGAATATGCTCTTCATGTTTCCACCCCAATAAGTTTTCCGGTTGTCGCTGTCGCTGTCGCTCTCGGACTTTTGGGAGAAATTTGGGATAAGTTCAAGATCACGTGTAACTATTTGTTCTGTTTGCATTGAACGTTTATATACTGGCATAAGGATGTGCTGGATATATGTACAGTACAAGAAAGAAAGTACGCCTGAATGGCAAAACACTGCTTCATAGCTCAGGGAGGTTAAGTTTTCAAGATAAAGATAGATTGGGAACAGAGGAATAGCGTTTTAATAGAAGCAAAAGAAAGCAAAGACAACGAAAGAGAGAGAGAAACAAACAGGCCTCAACCCCAACAAATAAACCCACCAGCTGAGCAGAAACAAAAAGGGAAGAGAAACAAATAGGCTGCGATTAATTGCTATATATAAACTCGTCAAAGCCCTTGTTCCCTTTCCACTTCGAAATACAGATTGCGCTCCGGGTAATGCCGTTTCGGTAAAGGTATTTTAAACTCGTAACTATTCATATTCCGTTCTCAATTGAACGTAACTTTGTCTTTTCAGCCTCCTAACAGATCTTCATTTTTTATTTTCATTTTTTGTAGTATCATCCACGGGAATGGAAGGCACAACCGCGTCTTTAGCCATCTCCTCGGGCACCTTTGAAGATCTCCTTAGCCGGAGCTTTTTCTCTCCGTGTTCTGAAATTCTCGTAAGCTCAGAGACGAAAGATTGGCCCCAGAAAGCACTAATAATGGTTAAAAGTACAAGTTAGCCACGGTAGTCAATCCATGAAGCACATTCCTTGTCGTGGCCAAGTAGTTAGTGGCAATAGGAGGACGAACCTTGTGTATTTCGAAACATATTTATCAAGTTTGGAAAAATTTAAGGTCCTCTGTTCATCACTCATCGTTACGGCCTCCTGGAAAGCGTTGGCGAGCTCCTCCGTATTCCATGGGTTGACAATGATGCTGCCATTGAGACTCTGCGCCGCGCCGGCAAATTCTGATAAAACTAGGCATCCGTGGCGTTTCTTCTGGGTTGCTATGTATTCGTAAGAAACAAGATTCATACCATCCCTGGTTGAGGAGACCACACAGACGTCCGAAACGGCGTAGAGTGCAATTAGTTCGTCGAAGTTAACTGATTTGTGCAGGAAATGTATTGGCATGAATTCCACGGTGCCTTGGCCAAATCGTTAGAATTTATGTCTACTGGATTAAGTTCACTCTAGGTTGGTGGGATGAACATACCAAATTTACCATTGATTCTCCCAACAAGCTCATTAACAACAGCTCTCAAGTTCTGGTATTCCTCCACGTCTTGTCTGCTGGGAACAGCAACCTGTACCAGCACCACTTTGCCAATCCACTCGGGGTGATCTGTTAGGAAGACTTCAAGCGCATGTAATTTTTGCGGAACACCCTTTATGTAGTCTAGCCTATCCACCCCGACCATCAACTTGACCCCTTGGAATTTTTGCTCGAGAGCAGTTATCCGTTTCTGCACCTTCTCCTTTTTAAGACCTTCTGTAAATTTCTCCGGATCAATACCGATAGGGAACGCGCCCACTGAGATGATTTTGCCTTGAAATTCTACACCGTTTGGAGTGGTCGATAAGCCACTGTTCACTGGTATTAGCGAAAAAGGATGGATATGCACTGGGGTCGTTGGGGAGTCCCCTACAGTATTCTCGAACAACTACTTAAGAAGTGTCGTGCATAGTCATAAGTATGGAATCCAATCAAATCACAGAGCAATACTCCTAGTAGCAGTTCGTTCCGGACGGGCAAGATTCGATATATCTCACTGCTGGGGAATGGTGTGTGCAGGAAAAATCCGATCTTCACATTCTTTTTTGACGTTCCGATTTCTTCGCGTAGCATTGCCGGCAGCAGCATTAAATGGTAGTCGTGGACCCATACAAGGTCGCCATCCTTCACATCATTCGCGATAGCCTTAGCGAAAAGACGGTTTGCATCTCGATACGCGTACCACGCGGACTCGTCAAAAGTTATTTCCCCCGGATGGTAGTGGAAAAGTGGCCAGAGTATAGAATCTGGGGGCGCAGGTCGTAGGAGTGAAATCAGTGATGAAATCATGCAAGATCAGAACAGCATTGAACTTAGCGAAACTCGGGGAATAATCCCTTACTTGAAAATCCGTTATAATGTCTATCCGCCAATTCATCATCGATAAGCACAGGAACTGCATCGTACTCATCGGACAATCTTTTTTTCACCAAATGGATTTCATCCTCCGGCACTTCTAAACCAGGCCATCCGTACCATTGGAACGTCGTTGATTTCGATAACCCACTCAGCCCACTGACAAGACCGCCCGACGACATCGAAAACTCATACTTGCCATCGTCGGATCGTTTGATTGTGATGGGTAAGCGATTGGAGACCAGGAGCAGCCTTGCACCCTCCTTGAGGGGGCTCTCCAGAGATGGCATGGTGTAAAATTCCGAAATTAAGATAAGAATAATATCAGTTCATGAACGCCTGCGCTTTGGTTTGGTTTGGGGAGGTGGGACGGCTGCGCCAGGACATATAAATATTGGAATCAACACAGCCGGTTGGCTATTGATTATTATTATTTTTTTTTTTTTCAACGAATTAGTATATATAAAGACAATACAATGCAAATCGCAGAAAGAATCTGCATTCGTTTTGAAGCTACAAGACGATAAGTGATAAAGTGGAGGGGGGACGCGGGGAATAGTTTTTGCTATGGCACAACATCCAGCAATAATAATAATAAAAAAAAGGGTCCCCACGTTTACGTACCAATTTGCCATGGAGCGAAAACGGTTTATACAGGAATTATCGACCAAGGTACGACGCGCTGCTCTAGCACCACTTACTTGGCAGCAGAAGCGACCCAGGACAAGAGAGATAATACGTAGTTATTGGGTTGGAGCTCAACAATGAAGCATCGCAAGAACAAGGAACGACGCAAGAAGTTCACAGGCGGGCAGGACCACACGTCACGGAGCCAGGCGAAGTAGGCGAAGGAAGCGGGCGCGAGGACAAGACAGCGGGATCCGGGGACATGGCAGGGAGACGGGTTCTATCGACGGAATGTTGGATGTTGTGTTGGCGCTCCACTGCAGGGAAACTGGCCAGCATCCGACGCGGTCCTGACGTCGTTTCCGAGTTCAGACATCCGCGGCCAGCCCTAACTCATTACTCCGAAGCTTAATAATAGCGGTACCCTCGTAGCTAAACTATATCCAACTGTATGTATGTACATACTGCACGAAACTTCTCATATCGCTTCCGACGGAAGCTGGTTGTGACATACTCCTATATTGGTCGACTGAGTTGTGGTGAAAGTATCTACTTCGCTGGTCGAAACATAATGACGCAATTTCAAAGCCGAAAAGCGCATACAATCTGATATCTGCATGTGCTGCACATAATGGCAAACGGATTTAAATTCATTACAATGAGGAATAAATCATAATGCCGCCTTCCCGCCCTTAACCATCCATTTCTCCGACTCCCCATCGCGGATTACCTTGCCTTCCCCCTCTAGCTTTAGCAACATCTGGAGTACCCCACGCGAAGCTGACAAGCGTAGTTCCTCCGCGAGATCAGGATATATAACCGCTACCAAGTCGGCAGGTGATAACGGCCGAGGTTTACCTTGCGCTGCTGTCGCGGCCCTGACCTTGCCATTATCCAAACCTCCAAACTTCAACACTCGAAATACTTCTTCCTCCCTCTGGCGGCGATGGTCAATGTATTCCGTAATCTTGGCTTCACAGTCTTCGATCACGGCGCCATGCCCCGGATATCCTCTGCCAGCACCAAGGTTACGCATCTTTTCCAGTGTGGACAGGTACAGGACAAGGTCTTCGAAAAATGCCGTTCCATGGCCAAGCACGTCTAGAGCAGAGAAATATCAGACATGCCACAAAAACGAAGAAGAGAAAAAACCGGGGGGGGGGGGGGGGGGAGGTTTCACAATTTCCAGAAAGAAGGAGAAAACAGAGCTACACTTACTATCACCCGTAAACAACGCATTCTCATCCTCCAACAAAAAGGAAACATGGTCAGCCGTATGGCCAGGCGTATGTATAGCTCTCAGCGTGGCGCCTTGCACCTGGAAAATCTGTCCATCTTCAATAGTCAACTGATCCTCTTGGCCATCATGCTTATACACTTGCGCCTCCGGGCACATCTTCAATAAATCCGCGACGCCGCCGACATGGTCGCGATGCCAGTGTGTCAAAAGCGCATGCTTGACCGTAGCCTTCTCGGCAGCTAGGAGCTCTCTGAGGACAGCGGACCAGCTGGGTCGGCCTTCGCCTGTGTCTATCAGAAGACGTTGGGCTCCCCGACCAACGAGGTAAGTGTTTGTGCCTGATATTTTTATTCATTTTTCGCATAGTTCGACGATATGGCATTTGTCAGCGTTTCAGTAGCCGAAGACAGCGAGTTTTCCGGCTCTGCGTGGGTTCTACGGAGTAGAATTCGGGGGTATTGAGGTCCGTTCTCACCTTGCAATGTGTACTGGAGCAGGAACAATGAGACTTGGTTAGCAAAATCGCAATCGCTAATTATACAGTGCCATATCGTGGTTTCTGAGCCATTGTTGCATTGCGCCCGTACTCGCTCAATGGGGTGAGATGTAGATTAGATAGGCACAGTGAATAGTTAGTTAACTCACTTTCCCGGGATTTCCTGCAAGCAACCTAATAACCGATCCGCTCAACCTTTGCACCTCCGGCAGCGGAAATTGCTGCGCCGCCATTTTTTTTTTTTTTTTTTTTTTTTTTTTTTTTTTTTTTTCCAATCGTTATTTTGATTTAATTGTTGAGAATAAAGCATATGTGGGAAGTAATAAATGTATTTTTCACCCCGGTCTCTAAACAATATTGGGAGATGGTTTGTATTTATATGTTCCCTTGGAACTTTTCTTGAGAAGCACCAGCTAACAATCCACAAGGGAAAATTCCTGAATATAGGCAGGCTCCGGACAAGGGGGATATTGACAGCGTTTGTTTTTCTGTATTGTATGCAGAAGTCTACGTAAAAGGAGCCAAAGTTAAACAAAAAATCGAAATATCAACCCCTTGATAAATGTAAAGGCTTTGACGAGAGATTTATATGAATGAAGCTCCGTTATTGTCTTCTCAGTCTGACGGCTCCATTTGCTAAGAGAGATCGAAAAAGAAAAACAAAGAAAGAAAAAGAGGAAAAGTATTGCAGAAATATCGCGGGAAAGCACAGCAATATAAGTCAGTAACTGAATGGTTCAGAGAGAAGACGCAGAAGAGGGGGAAATGGGAGAAAACGAGAGTCAAACTCATAGCCGGGTAACAAAGGAGTATATATGATATATCTAATGATTACCGGATTTCAAAGTACTTTCCCATTCTCATCCGAGAGCAAATAGTAAATTCCAATCGCATTTTTAAATAATACTAGTATGTATCCCTTTGAATTACTTTTTATTATCAGCCATTTTATCCATCATGATCCGTTTAAGTATCAAAGTGAAAAACAAACACGGCGCCCCCCGGCGCCGGTAGCATTCTTGTCTGAACCTCGGCATTTTTGCTCTAGAAATCCATATACAAGGAGCCACCTATGTATACATATATATTTGCGAGCCATTTGTCTGTCCACTTTCCTTTTGAATCATCGCCTTTCTTGTTTAAAGTTCTGAGGAAGGTCTGTCTGAGTTAGATATCTACAGAATGCAAAAAAAAAAAAAATAAAAAAAAAAAAAAAAAAGAAAAAAACGGAGCGAATCGATATATAAAAGGACGCGTAGAAATCGAATGTGATAGAATATTATGTTAAAATAACGGATAATATTTATGTACAGTTAACATATGTACTGTTGTATATATATGTGAAGAAATTATAAGCAAAGTGGTAGACCAAGACAAAAGGAAAAAGGAAAGAAAGCTATATCAAAAAATTTGTGTTAATTTCATTATATTTCCTGAGACGGTATGAAAATAATACGAAACAGGTAGAGGAATAGCACGTAAAAAGGAACTGGACCGACTGGGCAAACATAAAACTTAATCGAAGGCGCGAAGGTTCGGGAAAAGTTGGGTTGGTAGAGTATAGGATGGAGTTTTGGCGAAGTGAAGGGAATGGATAGAAAAAACTTGGGGTGGGGAGGGAGGGAGGGGGTGATGGGAGAGGAAAAAGTAAAGAATGTGACATAGTTGTAACAGGTCCCTATTTTGGATATCCAACTGCGAACTAAACCGTTTCAACTCCCAGTCGATGCGATGTGTTAATATCCACCCTCTTGGCATTGCCGCTCGTGTCTGATCGATTCAAGCAGGACGGACGGGCGTTTCCTCTTCGAGAAAGGTTCTCGCTTCATATTTGCCAATGCAGATTACAGGAGAGAAGATCATCAAAGAGCAAACCCGCTAAATCGTACCTAGGGTGCTTCTGTTTGCGGCGACGAGGACGGGTAATGACCCTACTGCGCTCTTCACCGCAATGCACTAGCATTTTGGCCTAGGTTCCCTGCTTTTCTCCTCTAGGCTCGTAACATTTCGTTGTCCAACACCCGACAATGCCTCCCACCCAAACCTTTCCCTGTCCAAGATTTTATCCGTTCTCTTCATGCCTTATATAGAGAGAAAAGCAAAATATGGTGACATATTCATACATAAACAAGGGATGACGACACTGCAAATACCAACGCTACCAACTTTTCTTCACAGGCCTTAAGAGTTTTTCTTTCATGAATAGTCGGAAACGAAACCAAAATAGTTTCTAAGCACGCTGCTTGGCCATGGTGTTCAGGGCGCTTCCGTCCTTGAACCATTGGATCTGAGACTCGTTGAAGGTGTGGGAGAGAGAGATGTCGAACGACTTGCCATCCTTGGGATGGACACGAAGAGTCATGGGTTTTCCAACAGCAAGCTCGGTGCACATCAGGTCGACGATGTCATTGGGCTGGATCTTGTCATAGTCGGCTGGGTCGGTGAAGGTGAGAGGAAGCATACCCTGTTTCTTTAAATTGGTTTCGTGCTGGATATTGTGTTAGTTATCACAGCTAGTACATGGCACTTCAGTCCATCATTAGGGTTTTAAGTTTTTGAACTTACAATACGGGCGAAGCTTCGAGTGATGATAGCGAGACCTCCAAGGTGTCTGGGCTCTAGGGCAGCGTGTTCTCGGGAGCTTCCCTCGCCGTAGTTCCAGTCACCGATGACAACCCATGGGATTCCTCTAGCTTTGTAGTCACGGGCAGTGGCGGGGACAGGGCCATATTCACCGGTCTTGAAGTTCTTGACCTTGTTGGCTTCTCCGTTCTCAGCGTTAATGGCGCCAATCAACATGTTGTTGGAGATATTGTCAAGATGGCCACGATATTTCAACCAGGGGCCGGCCACTAATGGTAGAATCAGTTAGTTTTGTGGAATTTGGAAAACGGCGAGAAGCAGAGCGGCAAGGAAAAGCCTGGAATATCTTACTGGAGATGTGGTCAGTGGTGGTTTTGCCTTGCGCTTTGATCAGAATAGGAACTCCAAGCGCGTCCTTTCCATCCCATGGTTTGAATGCTTCCAGGATCTGGAGACGATCACTTGTTGGTGAAACAGCGACGGAAATGGAAGATCGCTCCTTTGGTGGCGCCTGGTATGTGTCGCGACCGGGATCATATCCGCGGGACGGGAGGCCGACACCAGTTGGTGCCTTAAGCTTGAACTCCTTCCCGTCTTTACCCTTGAGAGTATCGGTCAAGGGGTTGAAGTTAAGAGTTCCGGCAATAGTCATGGCCACAACGAGGTCGGGAGATGTGACGAAAGCATGAGTGGCAGGGTTGGCATCGTTGCGGCCAGTGAAGTTGCGATTGTAGGACGAGATAATAGAGTTGGCCTCGCCCTTCTTGACATCCCTACGGTCCCACTGCCCAATGCAAGGGCCGCAGGCGTTGGCAAGGATAACACCGCCGAATTCTTCGAGGGTCTGCAACTGCCCATCACGTTCGATGGTTGCACGGATCTGTTCCGAGCCGGGAGTGACGGTGAAAAGAGATTTGGCCTTGACACCATGGTCCAAGGCATCCTGAGCGATGGAAGCAGCACGAGACATATCCTCATAAGAGGAGTTAGTGCAGGAACCGATCAGACCGACTTTGAGCTCTTCGGGCCAGCCGTGCTCCTTGACAGCATCCTTAAATTTGGAAATGGGGGTTGCCAAGTCAGGAGTGAAAGGACCGTTAATGTGAGGCTCGAGTTCAGACAAGTTGATCTCAATTAGTTGGTCGTACTCAGCGCCTTCATCTTCACGGAGCCCGTGGGCATAGGATCTCGCGAAGTCACCAATATGTTGACGTCTGGTGGCCTTTAGATAGTCGTACATACGGTCGTTGAAGGGGAACACAGAAGTAGTAGCACCAATTTCAGCACCCATGTTACAGATGGTGCCCATACCCGTGCAAGACAGGGACTCAACACCTGGTCCGTGGTACTCGATAATAGCCCCAGTACCGCCTTTGACAGTGAGAATACCAGCAACTTTCAAGATGATATCTATTTACATTCGTTAGCTGCATACTCCGCAAGAGTTGGTGTAGAAGTCGAGATATGCTACCTTTTGGTGCCGTCCAGCCGGACAATTGACCGGTTAGTTTCACACCGATGACATTGGGAGCCTTCAGTTCCCAGGGAAGACCAGCCATCACATCGACAGCGTCAGCACCCCCAACACCGATGGCAGCCATACCAAGACCACCACCGTTGGGAGTATGCGAGTCGGTTCCGATCATCAGGCCTCCAGGGAAAGCATAGTTTTCCAGGAGGATTTGATGGATAATGCCGGATCCCGGTTTCCAGAATCCAATGTTGTACTTCGCGCAGGATGAAGCAAGGAAATCGTAGACCTCCTTGTTGATCTCGTTAGCTCTAGCAAGATCTTTCTCTCCTCCAAGTTGAGCTTCAATTAAGTGGTCGCAGTGAACGGTGGTTGGAGTAGCAACAGAAGGCATGCCAGCGGACATGAACTGCAAGATGGCCATCTGCGCAGTTGCATCTTGACAGGCCACACGGTCCGGCCGCAGCTTGAGGTAAGATTTTCCCCGCTGAATGTCTTGTCCATGAGGATCGTCAAGGTGGGAGTACATAATCTTTTCAGCATATGTTAAAGGGCGGTTCAAGCGGCTTCGAACAATGTCGAGGTTCTCTGCCATTTTTCTGTAGGGAGCAGAAAGCTTTGTCAGTAAACCGTTTGGTTCCACAGGAGCTGAGCGGGAAAATCCATAAAGTTACTTCGGCCAATGAGGCCGGAAGAGAATTGGATTTCGCGAATTGTCCCAACAGGACAGCAGGAGCTCCCTGAAACATGGACTGAAGAAGTTCCATACTTGTAGTTTATGTAGTTACCCTGAAGAGGTATTGTTAGCAATTGTATTCGTTCTTTGTCCATGGTCTGAGAGACCAGCTCCCGCTATCCGGAGCCTACCCGAGGCGAAATCCTCAGGGAAAAATCTCACCTTCTCATGATTGCACATCTCGACCCTTTTGTCAAGAGGAGAATCGCTGACAGTCGCCAGACTCCGCACACCCAAAAGCTGTTCCAATAATCTAGTCAGTAATTGGACATCGTGTATAGATTCTAGACCGTGGGGTACGCTATAAGTTTTTCTTTCCCAAGGGCTACTTACGGTGCGGGATTTGGATGCCTATGGACAGGACAAGTTAGTTAAACACGACTGTGCTCAATGGACATCGAGATAATGTAGATGAATCGCTTTCAAGAAGCTCTTCAAGATCTACTGATAGAATAAAGACAGAGAGTGTGGACAACTTACCAGCGCACCCAGGCGGCCAATCCGGGTTGAGATCATGGTGGCAGCTTGCTGTGTAAGCACACTGAGCTATGGAGCTAAACGTCGAGGCTCATCCAATGTCGAGGCAAAGCAGATAGCTCGACAGCGGCCGTGAGAGAAGAGAGGAGAGGAAATTGAGGGTTGAGAAAGAAAATGGAATTACGAGGGGAGGAGGAGGAAGACGGAGAAAGATGAGACAAACAGGAATCAGAAGCAAGATGAAGGAACCCCAAAGGTGTTGTTCGGTGCCAAAATAGAACTAGTTTCATTATAAGGTCCGAAAAGATTACGTTGTTTTACAATTACAGCGACCCTGTATTATTACCTACAGCTAACCAAAATATGCCCAGTCAACACAGAATCCTCGGCAAGCTCGGGTGTGTCCCGCCGCTGTCTGGCTGAAATTAAAACACAGCAATACAGCAACCACGGCCGCCGCCCACATGTGGTTGTTCGCGGCAGCAACCTTGGAATTGCTGATTTGTGGAGCCGCCAGCAAGCGAAAAATTTTGTTGGCCTGCAGACCAGCAATGCAAATCCCAGCTCTGTGAGTGGCTGGTTGCCCAGTTCCTCCCGTCCGACAACCTCCAATACCAACCGTTGTTTTGCCGTGTCCCACCTCTCTGTGATCGGGCTTTTTATTTCTTCACTGAACAGGACTAATTACCCCTTATAATAAGACGAGAATGGCGGAAACAGTGTCACCGTAACCTTGAGCAAAGGGAGAGCAGTTACCTAGCAGCTCTACTACTGACTAATAATTTACCTAAATGACAGGGAAGCGTCCTGGTCGGTAATTTTGGGTTGGAGGGGGATGGCAGTGCCGAGGCCAGCCAAAACGTCATTGATCGTCACATTCCGCATGAAATGACAGCAGGCTTCCACAGTGCTGGTAGCTGGATTTCGTTCGCTCTGCAACCATCAAGAACAGCTGAAAATGCATATTTATAATATTTCCTTGATTCATATAGACAGCAGCCAAGTTTATTCTTTGCAGTTAGCATCGAACGGATTGAATCAACTCGAATCAACTCGAATCAACTGGTTACCATTCAAGAGCCTCGTGTATCACGTGATTTTATTTTGGATTCTGGAATAATATTTTAGCGTTCCGATCCAAAATTGGAAATATTTCTGATCATGGTAGAAGATGGAGAGCAAGTTTAACAGCGTATATTTCACATCAAACTCCAAAAAATAAAACTCGACCCTCACGACAATGGGTGCCACCAAAAGAATAAAAACAAAACGACGGACGAGGTAAGTTCTTGTTATCCCCGCCATGGGGAAAAAGATAATAAATGAATCAAAAATAAATATATCAAAAGAAACAAAAATTCATCTCACGCTTTTTGCACAGAGACTATGACCAAGTTCGCGCGGACATAAACTCCTCCAAACATCTTTCCCAGTACCAAAAGACCAAGGCTTCGGAGGACCTACCTGGCCTAGGCAGACATTATTGTGTCGAGTGTGCGAAATGGTTCGAGAGTGACTATAATCTTGTGGCTCACCGGCGAGGGAAGAATCATAAGCGGAGGTGCGCGCCTTTTCAATATTTTCCCTCCCTATTCTTTCCTCTCTTTTTCTCTTTCGAGTCAGCCAAAACATCGCTGACTGAAGCAATGAATATAAAACAGGCTCCGCATCCTAAAGGAAGAACCACATTCGCAAAAGATGGCGGAAGCTGCTATTGGATTGGGCACGGATAACGGAACTCGAGCTGTGCAGGCGATGGACATTGTGGAATCGGAGATGATTGAGTGAAATTATATATTTTCTATTATGATGATTGATGATGCGATGATGAGCTTGAACACGTGAGATTTTTTTTTACTGGCGAATTCACCTCTCGAACGCCATAGCCAGCTTCCTATTGGCGTGGGCCTGGAGGAAGAGTTCGTATCTTCTCTTGCTTTGGCCATGGCGGAGGGGCGTAATTAACCGGCTGCTTTGATATGATGGGCTGTGACGAGGAGGTTATACACGGCGGCAAAGACGGTGAAGATGGTGTTTCTTGGAGCCACAGACTTATCAAAAATACCCCCTCTTGAACAGATGGTCTAATAATACAAGCTATAGGTTAAGCGCAAAATATCTGGGTTGTTGTTCTTTTTTGCGGAGCAACAAACTGTGTGAATAGCGCTTTCTTATCTCGAATAAATTCTCCTTTCTACAGGCCTATGAAGAATGCAATTCATCAAACGTATAGACACATATGCAACTTTTATATATATGTACATATATATATATATATATATATACATGGCATCAATTCCTTATGGAAAGCTCCATTTTTCCTAATTTATTCCATCAACGCTGCATTGCCAGTTTACTTGAGGAATTTCATCATCCCTTCGTACGTCGCCCACTTTGAGAAATTGTCAGCCCATCATATCATATGTCCATGCGAACTTACCAAGTTACATACCTGCACAGCATTTACAATAAATGCTCTCAAGCTACACACGCCTAAGCCACGGTAGAATACCTGGAAACCCTCGGTCCGATATGCCTCCTTCACGACTGCCAGAGTACCTAGTGTACGTCCATCGATCCCGGAAGGTCGAAGAAGCGTTTGCCTCTCGGCCAAAGAGCCGGAAGCAAGAGAGCCTGGCGAGCCCTGCACCTGCAGCCGTGTTTTGATAGCATCTAGCGGGAAAATAGAAACCCAGGTGACAATGCCAGCGATTCCACCGCATATAAGGATTTTGGCGGCCGCTTGTTCAGAACTTTCGTCGGCAGTTGTCATGAGACGCTTGCATAGTTCGTAAGACCAGAAACTGTTATTTTTGAACGGAATACACAGCGTTAGACACCGAGTGTGTATATACAGGGGCAGAAATGAAAGGAGTGAGAAGAGGCAAAATAGGGTAGCCAAATTATTAATGTTCGTACTAGAACCCATATCCCACCGAATCTCGGATACTCGTAACTCCCCCTCCATAGTATAGTCCTCTAAACCCCCGACTTTTCCAAATATCTTTCGTCACCGTCCATGAGGATATTGATTGGTGAGTAGCAAGCTGCGCTCGGCACTTTACCAACTCAGTTGGCGATGATATGACCCAGCTGGCAAGCCCACCAACAGCACCTGCAACCCATATCTGATATAGCGGGACGCCTACAGGGTTAGTCGTGTCAGGTATGGGTTTCGAGGCTATACCCGTCAAGGTCCGGTTATAGGCAACGAATAGAATCGCATTGAGGGCGCCATATCCAACTATCGGTGCTGTTGCGCCTGTCCAATAGCAATTGAGGTTAGCCTGACCCATATCCTTCTCGTTAACTTTTCAATCAATTGCGATAACACGACCCCATGATATAACATAACTGACCTCGAACAAGAGACCCCACAGTGTCAAAATGACTCCTGAACCCCTGGGAAGATCGCAATGATCTGGTGGCCGCTTGCCCCGCCTGAAGACGGGTTTTCAATAGGTCTAGGGGATTTCCGATTACAATGCCAATGGCTCCGCTGAGGTAGCCAGCCCAGAAGTCATTGGACATGGGATTAGAGCCGTGAACCTCGAGACCCTCGAGATAGCTGCTTCCATGATACTCTTATCGAGCAGCTGAGACAAGAAGCAAAGGATGGATGGTGGGGTTGCAAACATCATGTGATCCCGCGGTCATTTGGTGACGGAAGCTTGGCAAGCTAACGCGTTGAATCACACCTTGACGCGTTCGATTGAGACCGTTCGGCGGACTGTTGAGGATTCGTTTTTGGCTCAGAGATTCTTCGTCGACAACGTCTTTCTACCTTATTCACTTCAACGTAGAAGCGATTTAGTCTAATGTATCTTCCCGCCTAGCTGAATGTTTAAAATGGCCTGCCAGCTAATATCTCTCCAGGCATCGTCCCCGTCCCAAGACTCCGGGAGCCGTTGCACCAAAACCATCAATTGACGGGCTCAGCAAACCGTTCAAATGTCCTGGATCAGCGCTACATACGCGGGCGTCCGATAAACCCGCTAGAAAAAGACGGAAAGTTAACTATGCCGGAGCAGATGGCAACATAGAGGATGGGGAGAAGCCATGGACCAACGAAGATCGGCTTGCCCTCGCAAATCGCGATGCAAATAGGTTCCCTGCATTCAAAGTAAGGGATAAAGAGCAGGTTTTCAAGCAGCGATTTTCCGTCCCTCTAATCAACAAAAATTCTGGCGCTTATAATCCAAATCGACCGGCTCCCATCCTTGGGATGCGGAGTGGCACTACATTTGTCGTCAAACCACTACATGATCCGAGCGGAGATTTTGCGATTGTCCTTTATGACCCCACGATTGATGATAAGCCAGTAAATCCTAATGATGCCAATGATGGGAATGGGAAAGGAGAGGAAAAGGAGAAAAATGACCCCCCTAAGTTGGATGCACCGCTTGTGCATAAGAGTTTGGCAGATATTCTTGGAATTAAGAAAAAGGTTGACGGTCGTCCGAAAGTTCCGGTGGTTATAGATCCGAAACTCGCCAAGGTGTTGCGTCCCCATCAAGTGGAAGGAGTGAAGGTATGGTGGTCAAGAGTTCTTGGCTCACGTTGATTAAGACTTTACGCTGATATCTGGTAATTTTAGTTTCTATATCGTTGCACGACCGGTATGATCGATCCCAAGGCCAATGGTTGCATTATGGCAGATGAGATGGGTTTGGGCAAAACGGTAGGGTCAAATGAATTTAGCCGCTGGTCGCATGGTGCTAAATACCTTTACTTTCAGCTCCAATGTATTACTCTGCTCTGGACGCTGCTTAAACAGTCTCCAGAGGCGGGCAAAACAACTATCCAGAAGTGCATAATTGCTTGTCCGTCGACTCTGGTAAAGAACTGGGCAAACGAATTTGGTATATTGAGATAGATTCTGCAAACAAGGTTTCGAATGCTGATGGCTTTTGTAGTCAAATGGTTGGGTGAGGGCGCAGTAACGCCCTTTGTTGTTGACGGCAAAGCTTCCAAAGTGGAGCTCACATCTCAACTCCGGCAATGGGCAGTATCTTCAGGGCGGTCCATTGTCAGGCCGGTTCTGATCGTGTCATATGAAACGTTGAGGCTTTATGTCGATGAACTTAAGGACACGCCGATCGGTTTACTTCTATGCGATGAAGGCCACCGACTTAAAAACGGAGACAGTCAAACCTTTACCGCATTGAATAGTTTAAACGTCGACCGTCGAGTCATCCTTTCTGGAACTCCAATCCAGAATGACTTATCCGAATATTTCTCGCTATTGAATTTCGCCAATCCGAACATTCTAGGGACTCGGAACGAATTTCATAAAAAATACGAGATGCCAATCCTCCGTGGTCGAGACGCTGATGGCTCGGATGAGGACAGGAAGAGGGGTGACGAGTGTGTAACCGAACTTTTGAACGTTGTCAACAAGTTCATTATTCGCCGAACCAACGATATCCTTTCTAAGTACCTTCCTGTGAAATACGAGCATGTGGTGTTTTGTCGGTTGGCTCCGTTTCAAACTGATTTGTATAATCATTTCATTCAAAGCCCTGATATCAAAAGTTTGCTCCGGGGTAAGGGAAGCCAGCCCTTGAAAGCGATTGGAATTTTGAAAAAGCTTTGCAACCATCCAGACCTGCTCAATCTGGGTGCAGATCTTCCTGGGAGCGAGCAGATTCTCCCGGATGATTATGTTTCCCTGGAGTCTCGGGGGCGGGATCGCGATGTGCGATCATAGTATTCAGGTAAAATGATGGTCTTGGATCGCATGCTTGCTCGTATTCGACAGGACACCAATGACAAGATTGTTTTGATTAGCAATTACACCCAAACTCTTGATCTTTTTGAACGGCTTTGCCGAACTCGTCGATACGGTTGTTTACGATTGGATGGTACGATGAATGTCACCAAACGACAGAAATTGGTGGACAAATTCAATGATCCTAACGGGGAAGAGTTTGTCTTTTTGCTTAGCAGTAAAGCAGGCGGCTGTGGTATCAACTTAATCGGTGCCAATCGCCTAGTTTTATTTGATCCGGACTGGAACCCAGCAGCAGACCAGCAAGCCCTCGCTCGAGTGTGGCGTGATGGTCAAAAGAAAGACTGCTTCGTCTACCGCTTCATTGCAACGGGTACCATAGAGGAGAAGATATTCCAGAGGCAGTCACATAAGCAATCGCTGTCTTCATGTGTCGTCGACTCTGCCGAGGATGTCGAACGTCATTTCAGTCTGGATTCACTGCGAGAACTATTTCAGTTCAAGCCGGAGACCCGCAGCGACACTCATGACACCTTCAAGTGCAAAAGGTGCCGGCCTGACGGCACGCAGCACATCAATGCGCCGGCTATGCTGTACGGAGACACAAGCTCATGGAATCATTTTGTCAATGACGGGGAGAATGGCCTTTTGGGTAAAATCCAGGACCTGCTCTTGAGACAAGAAGCATTGGAGCCGGATGTGACAGCAGTATTCCAGTATATAAGTCATTGAATAGAGGTGGTGGTGGTGGTGGTTTTTTTTTTTTTTTTTTTTTTTTTTTTTGCTCATTTTTCTTTTTCAGCGAGTTTGAACTTGAGATCATCATTGCTCACATTTGTATTTCGAATGATAGACTGCAACAACCTTAGATTATATTATATTCAATCACACCACGTCGATATTGGCAGCATCATAAAATGACTGGTCATGTGAGCACATTCCGAACGGATCGAATGTGTTGGAGGGATTGGATTGGGTGATTCGTGCCCTTGTTACCAGCATGGCGCTGGCGGTGATTGAGCTCTTTCGCCCCAGTGGCCTAATATTGGCATCCACGGGCGCCAAGACTGCCAACTGCTTAGGGTTTGGTGTCGGAGCTGGAATGTATGTACTGTGTACGTCACCAAATAGATCAGTCGTCTTGACCATCTGGACAGAATTTGTTTCCTCTCCGGAAAACGTTTCATTGTTTATTCGGTAATCTTGTAATCATGACAAGAGAGGAGCCGGTGGCCCTTTGACCTATTCCGGCAGTTATAACTCACATATCTAGCTTGGCCCTTGTCTAGGCGCTCACCGAACGACATGAATGTCGCCCAAGCCTGAAAGCTTCCTCCCGCTGAACCTGTCTTGCTGACTGTGATAGCGATATGGACCCGTCAGTTCAGAGACTTCTAAGCGACAAGCTATACGATAAGCGGAAACAAGGTGCTTTGGAGTGAGTGCTCAATGAATCCCATACCCAAGTTAAATCTAAATCGCTACATTTGAGTGGAAAGCAACCGCTAATCCACGGTTTTTTATGGCAATAATAGGCTCGAAAGAATTATCCGCGATGCCCTTGCGAAAGCCGAACATACCAAGATAAAAACCATCGTCGACCAGCTTTGTCATGAATATGCATATGCTGTCCATCAACCTCACACAAGAAATGGGGGATTGATTGGCCTTGCAGCCGCCTCGATTGCGCTTGGAACTGTGAGTTGTGCCGATACCTGTCCAGCTGAGATGTGTAAATTCTCATGGAAAACTCAATGTTATACATGTAGGATGAAGTTGCGCCGTACCTCTACGAGATTGTCCCTCCAGTCCTCGCTTGCTTCACAGACCAGGATGCTCGAGTTAGATATTACGCCTGCGAGAGCATGTATAACATCGCGAAAGTGGCTAAGGGGGAACTGCTACTGTTTTTTAATGATATTTTCGATGCTTTGTGCAAAGTAAGCTTGAGATGGGGAATTGATGTTTAAAAACGTATTATGCTAATTTTCACCTTGCCTTCTAGCTCGCTTCCGATTCAGAGCTGTCAGTGAAAAACGGCGCAGACCTCCTCGATCGACTAGTGAAGGATATAGTTTCTGAATCAGCAGCCTCATACGTTTCCGTTTTGCAAGCACCCAAGAAAGTTGAAGGTGATTCTGAGGTTGATGGTGTTAATGAATCAGAAGCGGTTTCCGAGGTGCCAACAGCATTCTCTCTTGCGAATTTTATTCCCCTCCTCAAACAACGTATACATGTCATCAACCCTTTCACTCGTACCTTCCTAGTCTCATGGCTGAGTCTATTGGATACCATACCCGATTTGGAGCTGGTGTATTACTTACCCGCATTCCTGGAAGGGTTGTTCAGGTTCCTTAGCGACCCCAATAGAGATGTTCATACAATAACCCAGGGTGCTCTGGAGACATTCCTTAGTGAGATCAAGAAGATTGCTCGGATAAAAAAAGGGATCGCATACGCCCGCCGTGATCCGGAAAGCGGGGATCCCAAGCCGTCTGCTACTAGCGATAGTATGAGTGTTTGCTCCGGCTCAAGCGATGTCAAAGATATTAGCGACAATGCTATTGCGGATTCTGATTCTGGCCCTGCCAATGACGGAGATGTTCATGTATATGGGGATTATGTTCCCGGACAAGATGTCCATGTAGATCATCCCAAAATCTTGGAAATTCTACTTGGCTTTGTGGACACTGCGTTTGGTAGGATTCCCTTTAATCTGATGTGAGATATTCGTTTTGCCTAGTATTTGCTAATAAGATTACAGAGGAAGAAATCCAGCTGACGGCCCTCCGATGGATTGATAGTTTTTTTGAAATAAGCCCAGAAGACATCCTTCAGTTTGTTCCTCGCCTACTTTCGCAAGTATTACCTGCCCTTTCGAGCGGTTCGAACCAGGTTCGTGAGGCTGCGAATCGGGTCAATACGTCACTCATGCAGTACATTGTTTCCCTCACCGATGATATTGCTCTTGATGATCCCCGGCCAGCTCAACTGTCAAGGGTACCTACCGGGCCGGTTAAGGAAACAGATGATCGAAGATCATCAACTCCTACAGGTATCCAGTCCGACTTATCTGCGCCTAACGAAGTCAATGCCAAAAAACTAAGCCCATCTCGTCCTGCATCAACGACTGATTTAACCTCACGAAGCAGCTCAGATGCAACACCGATACCTTCACCTGATCTAGATTATGCGGCTGCGGTTAACGCCTTAACCCTCCAGTTCCTCAATGAAAACGAGGAAACGAGGGTTGCTTCTTTAGCTTGGCTAATTATGCTTCACAGAAAAGCGCCTCGGAAGATTCTGGCCTTCCACGACGGGACGTTTCCAGCTTTGTTAAAGACGTTATCTGACCCTTCGGAAGCCGTTGTTACGCGAGATCTGCAACTACTCTCTCAAATTTCAAAAAATACTGATGATGGCTATTTCACTTCATTCATGGTGAATCTGCTTCAACTGTTTTCTACCGATCGAAAGCTTCTTGAAATCCGCGGCAACCTTATCATCAGACAACTTTGCGTTAACCTAAGCCCAGAACGTATCTACCGGACGCTGGCAGATTGTCTTGAAAAGGAAGAAGTAGGTTATATCATCAAACTTAAATTTTAGGCTCTAGTGAATATGAACTAACTGCTTGTGTATAGGACATTGAATTTGCTAGCATCATGGTTCAGAATCTTAACAACAATCTTATTACCGCTCCAGAACTGGCTGATATGAGGAAGAGATTAAGGAACCCTGAATCCAGGGCATGTAATGTTTCCCAAGGGATTTCCATGTTTTTCGTTAACGTGTTCTTAGGATGGTCAAATGTTCTTTGTGGCATTATTTAGATCATGGTGTCACAATGCCGTTGCTACCTTCTCCCTATGTTTGCTCGCTCAAGCGTACGAACAGGCGTATAATCTTTTGCAAATCTTGTAAGTCTCACCTAGCCCATATACTATTGTCATGGAAGCTGATCAGCTTCACGTAGCGCGGAGTTGGAGATGACCGTCAATATGCTGATCCAAATCGACAAACTTGTTCAATTACTTGAATCTCCCGTTTTCACCTGTTAGTACTTCAGTATAAGTTCATTCATGAAGAAGTCCACAGTCTAACTGATTTGTTTTCTGTAGATCTCCGTCTCCAGCTTTTAGAACCAGAGAAGTATCCTTATTTATACAAATGTCTTTATGGCGTTCTTATGCTACTTCCCCAAAGCTCTGCATTTGCTGCACTCAAGAACCGTCTTAACAGCGTGAGCAACATTGGCTTACTACAACCAGCTGCTCGAGGGTATGTCTATAGTAGGATCCGTACTATCCCACCCCGTTCCATCCAGTTTTGGTACTCACGTCCATTTTCATATTGTCTAGCATCACTTCAAATACTCCAAGCATTGCTTCATCCTACGAAAGGCCAGGAGGGAGACTAAAGTCGCGCGAAGATATCCGGTGGGGTGATTTGCTCGAGAAATTCAAACGTGTGCAGGAGAAGTCCAGACGATCCGGGCGATCAGCGTCACGACAAATCGACCCAGATGCAAATGGTATGCCCCATTCATCAATTGCAGCCGCCGTCGCGGTAGCAACTGCGGCTGATCAAAATGGAAATAAAGAGAAAGGGACTGGAGATTCCCATCGCATAGGCATCGGAGCAGGGACTGGAAGTGGACTTGGAAGCGGGCATGCAACACGAACAGGGTTTGCGGTGAATGAAGGTTCCCCTGTATCAGGACAAAAGACGCCTAAGTCGAGATCGGCGTTGGGAAATTTAGGACGATTAAGTGGAATCGGGCAGAGGAAGTCGAAGCGTTGAAATACGGAAGTATACCGTTCTGTTGATTTATACTAAAGGATTATGGGGTACATACCATGCGTTTCTGTCCTGTTTTCGGCTGCCCCATTTCTAGAAATTTATGACATGATTTCACCACACACACTCCTCCCCCCCCCTTCTTTCAATTCTTCTGTCTGCCACCTTTCCTTTGGCCAGCTACAGTTACCCAGCTTCCATTGTTATATTAGCTTAATCGATGATCATAAGAAGTGTGTCTTAATGAATTAAACTAAACAGTTAACATACATCATAACGATTTGCAGGCAAAAAAAAAAAAAAAAAAAAAAAAAAAAAAAAAAAAAGGAGTCGTTAGAATTTAGAGATCGAATACACTGCGCTGCGGTGTTTTAATTGCTCCCATTTATCCGTCTATTCATTCCCTTTCTAATTGCGGACGGACGGTATCTGGCTAGTACTTTCCAAGGGGCTTAAATTCCCCGCAAATGATACAGTAATAAAACGCAACTATCACACCATGGGATCTAGTAAACTAAAGAGGTAAGGGACGAGTTGTTGGATAAATCGATGGATAGATACATATGTACAGGTACGCAGTAAAACGAGATACCTAAATATTCACAAGTGAAAGGTCCAGTTACAAATCGTATAGTCGCATATTAAAAAAACGGAAATAGGGGCGGGAAAAATATAAAAAGAAGAGACGAGGATGGTTAAAATCAAGAAGACATGGTAATGATGATGATGATGATGATGATGATGATGATGATGATGATGATGATGATGATGATACGTAGGGAAATATGAGATCGGAGAATTGGGCGGGCTGTCTGGCATTTCTCATTTGAAAAGCATTATTACGATGTCACAACAAAGTAATTTTTACCGCAGTGTGAGATGCATCAGGTAGGCATCCCGTCTTTAATGAAGACTTTTGAAACCGCGAAAAATTTTCTGCGGAACAACTACCCGTATCGGATAAGGAAATTGTTCCTTATTTTTCCCCCCAGGGTTATACAGAACCATAGCCAGATAGCTCCTCTCCGCTTACATTCTCAACAGAAACACGTCTAACCATTTTATGTCGTTTTTATCTCTATTGTCATTGGCATGAGCAGTCGATGCGCGAAATGTAAAATAGATGACTTGAGGTAAGAATTCCAAGTCATCCGTATATATTATCGGGTTTTGAGGTTGGAAGTTTTCCAGGTTCAGAAACGAAGATAAGAGTGATAGAAACGCCAGCTGTACATATCACATATTGAAGCGGAGGACGTGGGATTCATGGTTTTTTTTTTTTTTTTTTTCCTTTGTCATTTTTCGTGAAAGATTGTTCTGTTTAATAAGATTTGTCTTGCATCATCGATTCCGACGATCCAGTGAACCGAATCCGCCCCAGTTCCCTGACGGCCTCCACGACGTGCCGGTTGAGTGTTTAGCTACTGTTGAGCTCGAGTTTGCGGCTGATGAATAACCACTTCCGGTATTGTTTGTGTAGACATATTCGCCATCGACGTATTGGGCGCCCATGGTGAGGGTGCTGCGGTGTTTTCGTCTGGCGTATCTTTGTTCGAGCCGGTAGAGCTCTAGTTCTAAGGAGATGTTAAAGGAGACGATGCCAGAGGGGTGGAACAAGCAAGAAGGGCGGCGCACAGTAATACATCCCCACGGAGTGCATAGGGAAAGATAAAATAATATTACAGGGAAAGATACACGTACTTGCATGTAATTTCTCAAAAAGACCCATTTTGGTGAAGATTCGGTGTATGTGATTTCCTCTCTCGTCAGATCATACTGCGTGTATTTGTCAAAGCCAGCTTGTCTCGAAGACGTTTAAGCCCAGCTTGACTTTCAATCAGCAGAGAGAGCTATCGATTTCCTCCTGTACGTTGCAAAGACGCCCTCCCGTTTGGTATTCCGATGTTCAGGCTGGCAGCAGACGACAGAGGAACCGCGAATGAGGCGTTGACTGACGATGTATAGAACGACCAATGCGTCGGGGCCAGAATATCCTGTCCTGCGTTCGGACAAATATATACCCAAGATCTTTCCAAGTCTCAGACTTTTTCTGCCGTGAATTGAGGGTTTCGTTGGAATAGCACTCCTCAGTTGTTTAGCCGCCCTATCGAGAAAACTTTCCCGATTCCAGAAATACCAGAAACGAAGCAAGGAAAAAATCGACGAAACGGAGAATCGAAGGATCAAAGGACGGATTCAATTGATTTTATTAATGAGTGGCAGTGGATCAGTGATTGCATGAATATAAGGTCCCTGCCCTAGCAACCCACCAGTCAGTTGGGTAATACTACATGTATTATATGGATATGGGTTTGTGTCTCAGAGCCGACGTATCGCAAACGCAAAACCAATGCCATTCAATATCCGAAAGGATTGGACGTGGGACGAACCTGTGTGGAGGAGAAAGGGACGAAGAGACACACAGCTGAGGTCTGGTTGCAGCTAGAATCAGGGACAGTCTAGAAGGAATGAATGAACTTAAAGGAATAAAACGCAAGCAGGCAAACAATAACTATAGAGAGTGACAAACTGCTACAAATGCAGTATGCTGGAGGGAAGAGACTCCAAGCAAAGCATCGGCGCAGGAGCAGAAGGGAAAGCCTACGGAGCGCTGGATCGAGGGATCAAGGTGGAGAGAGGAGAACCCAAGGATACGAACGAAATGAACGATAATTTTTGAAACTAGCGATCCCCCGGCCCGCCATTCTCTGGACAGTGGGTCACAGAGCAAACCAGAAATGCCAGACCGTCCCACTCTGAAGTCGCTAGTCGCAGCTAAACATCACTATTTTGTTTCTAGAAGCACCAAGGGCTTGGTGATCTGGGGTTCTTGTGGCCACGAGCCATGCTCCTCGCACAGGAGTCAACACAGGCTGTCTACGGATGTTGCACCGGTGGTGAGCTTTGACAGTTGCTGGCGAGACAATCACAAAGCGGGCGGTTGGCATGAGATATTCGGATTCCTTTTTCTTCTTTCTTTTTTTTTTTTTGCTGGAGGTTCGTCCGTCTGGTGCGAGCCAGGGACAAGACCCAATTCAGGGGTAAAGACGCCATACCAATGTTTCTGTTAGCGAAACGAAAGCATAAACCCTCAAGGTTTGTGGCGTCCTCCAGCCAGAAAAACACCAAACACCTTGGGCATCGATAGTATGCTCATAGCACTGTTCATCAAAACCCATCAATGAAGCCTTTTTTACATTGGGTACTTGTACTCCGTACTGTGCATTTCAACTCCCCAAGTCCTCACCCCGCTCCAGGCTTACGTTTTGTGCGCGGCTAGATGCTTAAGCGGACACCACTCCCACGAGGATGATGATGTTACCGTGGGATCATTTGACCCGATAACCTATGCTTAATCGATGTTGGTTCACTGTTGAGGCATTCTTGCCGAACAACGTTGGGTCACTACTGAGTGTATTTTCAATGCGTACCTGTACAAAGCCCCAAGTATTCTTGCTACATATCTATATAGTTGACCAGCTAAAGAATCAAAATTATACTTATTTGGACATATGTAAACTGAACAAGCATCCTGTCTTATCATTTTGGGCGTATGGTGGGGAGAGTGGTGAGGGGTGCCTCAAGCCAGCGACGACGGTGGCTGTTGGTTCGGCCGGTTACTTGGGTCTTCGTCGGTTAACTCCTCAACCGCCGCCTCCATTTCCTCAACTTCAAGGTCGATGTCCTGAGAGAGAGATCTTTCCTGGGCTGTAATTGTTTTGTTTTAGGGGCAAAAGTGGTCAGCATAGGGTTCTACTTCGGGTAGGGCAAAAATAGAATGAAACGAGAAGAAAGGAAAGAAAAAATCTCGACGAGATAATTTTGAAATGCAGCCGGGCCAAAAGATCTTCATACGACATACCTTTCCATAATTCTGCATAAACGCCCCCTTCCATACCCAGAAGTTCAGTATGCGCTCCGCTCTCCGCAACCTTCCCGTCCTTCAACACGAGAATTTGGTCACTGTCATAGATAGTTCGCAGTCGATGAGCAATGAAGACGCTCGTTCGTGCTTTTTCCTTGAGGATGCTGTTGATGTTTTGAAGCAACGCTTGCTCCGTGTATGTGTCTAGAGCGGATGTCTGTTTTGCCGAAGAGGTTAGCCGAGAGAAGTCCATTGTAGCGAAAAATTAGAGGAGAAACAGAAACGAGAAATACTGACAGCTTCGTCGAAAAATAAAAGAGGGGGGTCCTTGAGGATGAGTCGGGCAACCGCCAGCCGCTGCTTTTCTCCTCCTGATATCATCATTCCACGCTCTCCCACTGGTGTCTCGTACCCCTCAGGTAGTCGCTCGATGAGCTCATGGACGTGGGCCCGGCGTGCGGCGTTCCGAACCTCCTCGGCAGTCGCATCTACCCTACCATAACGGAGATTGTGTTCGATAGTGTTGTTGAAAAGCGGAGTGTCTTGTGGAACTACACCGATAGCCCTTCTCAAACTATCCAAGGACAGATCGCGAATGTCTTGGCCATCAACTAGAATCCGACCTCCTTGCACGTCATAGAACCGGAATAAGAGACGTAATATGGTTGATTTTCCGCAGCCGCTGGGACCAACGATTGCAAACTTCTGGCCTGGGGGTATTGTGAAGCTGACGCCTTTTAAAACCGCTCGATCGGGATGATAACCAAATGTGACATTCTCAAATCTAATTTCACCACCGCGAGTGAGCTGCAGTGGCTTAGCATCTGGCTTTTCTTTGACTGTGATGTTAACTTTCTGAAGGTTGAATAGCGTTTCCATGTCAAGCAAGGACTGTCTCAACTCCCGATACACGGATCCAAGGAAATTTAATGGCACTGAGAGCTGGAACACGAGTTGGTTGACCATGACTAAATCCCCTACAGTCAATTGACCGCCAGCAACACCGGTTGCCGCTAGGTACATCATTCCAGCGAGTGCACCGGAAAAGATAACATTCTGGCCCGAGTTGAGCAGAGCTAAGGATGTGGTGACCTTTATTGACGCATCTTCATATCCTTTCAAAGCCTTGTCATATCTAGAAACCTCGAACCTCTCATTGTTGAAGTACTTGACGGCTTCGTAGTTGATTAAAGAGTCGACAGCTATAGTGGCTCCTCTATTATCAGCTGCATTAGCTTGTTTTCGAAATTTCGTTCGCCAAGCCGTCGTCGTGATTGTAAATGCGGTATATGCTACCATGGTCGCTGCGGTAATGGCCGCAAATTTTGGCCCATATTGGTAGGACTTAAAAAATAATAAACTTCTTAGAATATTTGTGTCTAAATATTGTTTGAAAGACTGCACACATACCAAGATACCACAAACTAAGGATATTTCCAACGCTGTCGGGAATATATGGAACACCATTGAAGTGAGAAGGAAACTTATTCCTTTTGTACCTCTATCAATGGCCCGAGTGAGACCACCGGTTTGTCGTGTTAAATGGAAATTCAAATCCAGCCGAAGCAGATGGTCGAATACATTTTGGGCAACTCTTCTGATGGTCTTCTGCGCAACGCTTGCAAAAACAGCATTCCGGAGCTCTTGGAACAACGTTGCTCCAATTCTAGATGCGCCATCTAAAATGATTGAATTTGTTAATTTGCTGTTCGCATTTCTTCAAGGCATTCGCTTCCCACGTACAAGCAATAATCATCGATCCCGCAACTGTGAATGCAGTGCCACCGAGAGTCGCAAAATCGATATTCATCGAGTCGACAATATTTTTAAAATAAAAGGGAACTTGAACATTGAGGATCTAAGAGAGGAGTAAGCCTGCTGGAGGATATCCCAGAGGAAATATGATAGTTCACCTTTCCTCCAACTAAGAGGGCGAGTGCTGCGCCAACTCGAGCTTTGGTACCTAGATCGTCCTGTGGGACCCTTTATAAGTGTGAACTCCGCGAGTACATGGGGATTTTTCTCCTCCTACCTTAGGCCAGAGATACTTGGCCATTTCTTTCATAATAGCCCAGTCCGCTTTCCGCTGCTCTTTTATATTAACTGTAGAGTCATTGAGAAACTCCGCCCTCTTTTTCGGTATCGCATTACCTCCATCTTGCGGGTTCTGACGAATATCGTTCCTCTGGCTGGCAGCCTTGGGAGTTTGAGCTTCGAGAGATTGGGAAGCTGGGAGAGACTTCCTTTCTGAAAAATGGTCCTGCGTAGCTTCTTTTCCCAAGGCATTCCCTCTGGAACTAAATACACGCAATGGCCCTCTGGAATGCGTATGTGCAAGAGGCAATGGGTGCGGGAGGCTGAAAATGGCATCGCCACATTTCGTTGGCAGCGCTGTGCAGCGGCGGACAGGCAGCGCTCGGAAAAGCATGTCGGGAGGAGGTGTGTAGAAAAATACTGCCGAAGTAGCTGCTACAGCTGGAATATCATCTCGCCCATGCGACTTCGTCGGAGGATTTTATATCGCTGGCAGGGTTTTATTACACTGGGCTAGGCATAGATCGGTCAACCGTGGTCCTCAGGTTCACAAAATAAGGCGTTACATACCTGATTACTGCGCCCGCTTCACTAAGAGGAAAACATACCCAAACAGCAGCCAGCGTCAAGAACCTTGCAGGAGGTGCTAAATAATGGCGTGCGATGTTGTTGAGTGAGTCGAACTCATCCCACCAAAAGGCCGAAGCTTGTTTGCCTTGTTTGCTTCAACTAATTCTTGTCCAGAGTCGACTACAAATTCCCGGCGCAAAACCAACAGCAATTGACATCGTTATCCACATGTTGGTAGGTTGTCTCTTCCTGCGATTGGCGAATGTGCTCATATCGAGGTCATGAGCTATTCCATCAGGAATTCCTTCCGGCCTTTGATCCGGAGCAAAGGCGTATGGCAAAAGCCCGCCCGCCGTGTTGGCCAGAGCTGGATACATATCCAGCAGCTCCAGTCCGCTGAGCCAGGTCTCGTCAATGGTAGCTATCTTCCCGCTTCGACTACAGCTAATTCGGCTTCATCTCCCGGTATGGAAATATGTTTCTCTCCGATACGTTGCAAAAGCGCTAATGCTGTTTAAAAGACGCCAAGTTCCAAGTCCTCGGTGCTCCGTATTCTCTCCTCTCCGTCAAACTCTCCGCATCGCAGAACCTATATACACGGCGCGGAACTCTAGTTGGGCTAAGCGGAAAAGCAGACAATGTACGCATTGATCACGGAAATCACCCATGGGCTATACTGACACTTCCGTACCGCAGGTCGTTTCGACTTTACGTCTCCTAGAACCAGGTCGCCGGGCTTTACTCAGGATCCCGTTCCTATATCAAAAGGTGGGACTTTCGCAGAACATCAAGCATTTCGCACTCCCGTCTTCTCATATCTCCGCTTAATTGCAGATTTCCTCCACGAGCCCAATCACTGCTTTGATATCGACACGCTCCGCCTGTACCACGTTCTCAGTGGTTGAATTGAATGGCTCTGTCGATTGGATGATCACACAGGAGAAAGCCTTGCTAGCTTGGACAGGCCACACTTTGAGAATTATACCGAAACTCGCTAAGCAACTAGTACGTACTATACCCTCATCATTCCCTGGTATGGAAGCTGGCGCTGATTATTACAGAGTTTGTCACACTGGGGTAATTCGGAAGTAACAGGTCGCGGATTGTTAGCTCTCGTTGGCACCGGCCAGTTCTATTCTGTCGAATTGAAGGCAGGGGAACAATACATCTCTCATCCAAGGTACATATGTATATACGTTGAACTATTTTGTGGTTTTCTATTGTCTAACACACGTGCTTTTCAGTAATGTTGTCGCATATACTACCACCGCTGCCTCGCCACGTCCCTACCGGTTTAAATCCACCATTCTACCATTCCAGATCCCCAGCATTGGGTTAGGACAGCGTTTGTCAGATTCAAATTTCATAAAGAATATGTCTGATACGGACACATGGAAGGCCTCATTGAAGCTATGGCACACAATTCGGACATGGACCTGGAGAACCATTTTGGGCGACCGAGTGAGTCCAGATGCACGCCTGCATTTCCTACCATCAGGATAAAGGAAAGCAATTTTTCTGACTTCACGTTTTTAGTTATTCTTACAATTTGACGGACCAGCTACGATTCTGGTACAATCTCGCGCTTCAAGAATTGCCGACGCCTTGACTACTCAGCAAGTGAACGAGATCGCCGATGCTCCGCCAGGTGTTACTCAAGAGGCTGTGCGCAAAGCAGCAGCGAAATCGGGTGAAGCGGAGGCCGCTCCGAAGGCCAAGGATGATTTGATATCCAAGACTGCGGTATCTGGTCAGAGCTTTGCAAGCGTCATGCGTGACGGAAAAGTCGAATTCCACCAAACTGGAGATAGCCAGCGAAAATAAAATGCTCGCTACTATATTTTATTATTGTTATTCATTTAGGCCGTGTACATATATATATATATATATATATATATATGTTTTTTTTTATCTTCGGACGCCGAGTTCCTTGCATATCACTTGCTTTTTACTTATGTTAATGTATTTCACACGCCACTCTCCTGTGATCATGGTTTTCATAACAAGAAACAAGAAACATTTACGGATAACATTGCTAAGTATGCAACTTCTGGGAGTCCTTAAGCAACCTTTGGTCACGCAGTAATTATTAACAACATACCTAGAAACAAGTCATTGATCAGGCACGAAGGAACAGGACGCAAGGAAAGAGTCATTATATATTTTACTCATCCACACGCGTCAATAATACTAATGGATTAAAATAGATTACGTAGTGTTATAGTTACTACATAAAGGAACAAAATCGAACCCAGCCCTTAGGCAGAGCTTGCTTATTCGATGAATCGGGGCTGGCCGTCTCGCCAGGGAACTCGCGGAAAAGGTCCGCTAGATGGCAAATGGGGGTCGGCAGGAGTCCAGCTACAGTTTCGCACAGTGGCTTGTCCGGTGCGCTTGGGTGAGAACAACTCTGCACAAATACCTTCACTCTGCCAAGCGAGATAGCAAAGCTTCTCAATCTCCTCGGCTTGCAGTACATCTTCCAAGTTACACAGGATCCCCATCCTCCTCTTTAATGTGTTTGGAAAGGTCCGCCACAAGGTTCTTGATTGAAGGAATGAACTCTGGATCTGTCGTCTTCATGCCTTGGAATCCCTTTGAGCTGCGGTCTCCACCTGTCTGGGTTATAAATGATCAACACCCTCATATCGGGAATAGGCTGGTTAATAATTGACCTATGAGAAATAGAGAACATAAGGTGTGACACTCTTTACAATCCCCATCGGCACGTTCCTTTCCACTCTTAACATGTTTCTCGAGCGCAGGGTAAACCGCCAGCTCTTTGCCAACGGAATGCCGGGCTAAATCTCCCTGGTAAACTGGCTTTGGTGTCGAACCTGTTCATCTTGACCCTTGTGGGGGCTCATGATTTTGTCATTATACCTCTCGAACGCCCTGTTTCTAGATGCTATTGGAAATTTTCGTCCTGATTGATCAAGTTACGAAATGTGGAGCGTGATTGAAAGTACTATAAAAATTCTGTCACCATCAGCTCTGATGACAATCAAAAATTAAGGGGGTAGGGTGGGTTGGGTCGGCATCAGGCCATTCAAGCAAGGGAAAAATGATGTAGTTGCCCAAGGAAATTTAACACGGACCTTAGAGTAGGTCGAGCACAAGCGATCAAGCCAGTAGAGAAGGTAGGTTGGAAGGTGAATTGGGAAAAGCATTCTAATGTATGTATATGTAGAAACAACTGTTTGAAGGGTAGACGTATGTATAAAGCGAAGACGCTGACATTTGAAAGCTCCACGAGTGCTCCCGATATTCAATTAAATTTGCAAGAAACGCATTGCAAGGCATGGTAGCCTGACACCGAGGGGTAGATATAACAGAAGGATCAATCTCAGAGGGACATGTCATAATGAATGGGTCGGGCGTCATCCGCAGGTAATATCCATCCCAAACCTAGCTCTAGGGGGTACTAAGAGCTCTTCACCTATTTACTATGTAGTTGTTGCCCAGCCGTAATAGAGCCCGGAAGGCCTCCTTCTGTTTGAGGATGAACTAGAAGAGTCATCCAACGGTCTGTGTGAGTTAAGACAGCTCATAAAGTTCCTCCGATGGAGACGAAGATTTGACTGCTGCCACTGTTGAGGTCCTCAACACGTAGGTTTCTACTATTTTATGTAGTTCAGTTCGCTAGAAATGGTGAAGAGGACTGGGAGGGAAGAAAAAAAAATTGGGGGAGGGAGGGGAGGGCGGCCATCAAAGCAGAAAATCGCTGTGTCGCGCGGCAGTTCGTCGCCTGAAGCCCAGCATCTGCCAAAGCGTCCACCCAAGTTTATCGTATAACACGGGCTGGCAGGTATCCAGTCATCAAGCGTGCTGGGAGCACTGGAATGCGGAATGATGCAAATGCCATTGAAATTGAAAAGGGCTTAATTTTTGGCAACGCAGGAAGCCATTGTGCCGAACATGAAAGACATCCTCAGTTTCTCATTTGCGTGTTGACCATCATTTTGTCAAATCGGATTTTCCACAGGGGTCCGTTGCCATCGTCCCAGTTTGTCCAGCTGCGGGCTAACCCCTGAGAATTGAGATTCGACATGGAGAGATTTCAGCAGATATCCGGATGGGTGGATTAGAAATACAGTGCCTCTGTTCGAATCCATATGAGAGAACTTGACAAATGCTGACAAAACAGTGAAGATTAACTGATTGACTAGTTAATGGATTTCGCGGAAACACAGCTTGGTAGTTATTTTTTCGCCGTCGATCGATAACGAGGAGGACGGCCATTGTTCCGTCATTGACGCTATATCCTACTCCGTACACAGAGACGAACTCCCCGCATAGAGAGGCCCGCTGCAGTTCAGAAGATAAGCAAGCGGCACCCTGCTAGACATAAGATCGTAAGCATACTCAGCTTCAACTGCCGCTCCATTGATTGATAGGCCAGTTTCGCGGGTTGAAGTATTAGTGTAGTGTATTTGCCCTGCATATGCGCATTCCCAACCTGATATGTTTTTGAATCCCCGCAGTACTCAACTAGTATTGTTGGAGATTCTTCTTCCCCTGTTATGAATGGGGCATAGATGCAGCGCGGGAAACATAACAATGAACGATCTGTTGTTTTTTGCTTTCCCTCTTTCTTTTTCCCTCTTTTTCTTTTTACATTTTGATGGGGGAGGGATCTTCTCCAGATGAGTGTGCAGGACGGTAGGACTCGAAAAGACAGAATGTGCTGGTTTCCAGAAAATATGAATAGACCGCCAGCTCCCGGTGGCCCATCCCGTTCTCAAAAAGCGCAGTGCATATGAAGACCTGTTTTGTACTCCGTATGTGCGTACATGTACAGTACATACATACCCCAAGTCGGCTGGTGGTTGACAAGCTCCGGCTAAACCTCTTGGGCGTCAACCAGGGATACGAGCACGGGGCGAACCAGCACCGACTATCCGTGCTGGTTATCTCTTGGCTTTGTGGCATGAAGGGAGAGTCATTATTTAGCTAGTTGACTTTACTACAGCGTATGTGAGTAACTGAATGCTAGTGCGCCGCACAGTCTTCGAGCCTTGTGGCCTCAGTACGATCTTGATTGAGACTGGGCGATAACGTGGGTTCATCTCTCCGGTAACTACTCGAATGTCCAGTACTACTGCTTTGTCATTTGGAGAAGTCTCAGATGCCACATTCCGTCGCCCCGTTGCAGGTTTATGTCCCTGTGAGTTGGCCCCTTTCACTCACCCTGGTTTGGTGCTAACTACTCCGTACTCCGTACAAACCTAGGTTTTAACCAGTTAACTGGCTGGCCATTCGCTCACGGACCTGACCTCGCAGCTTTGGACATGTGTGGCAAATATGTGGCTATCTAGCTCCCTCCGCAAGACACCCGTGCGCAGGTTTGGTTCTGTCGCAACCCAGTTTGGTAACTATGTGAATGATTGTGAGTACAATAGCTAAAGACCCTGCTTAACCGGCTAGTTACTTTTCTTTAAATCAGCACGGTGCACAGATAGCATAACAGCCCACCGAAAGCTTCGCGCGGATCTGAAATACTGCAAATACGCTTCTCATGCTGATCATAATGCTACCTTCAACAGTAGCAGGTTTCAGAGAGCAAACTCTAAGCCCGATCAGGATGTTGAGGAAGCAGTCAACCATCTCAATTGATAATTTAGGGGAATTTTAACAGTCGGACTCATTGTGGGCTTATTAGCAGAACCCAGTGGGTGTGGCGGCGGTATTTCCGCTCGTTTGAATGAAGCATGAAGCTACTTGACTCCCTGGTTTGAAAATTCGAATATGGGGAACGGCTTATCACTTTTTTGTTTTCTCCCCGAACCCATAAGACGGACGATGCCGGTTTCCTGTCATGGTATCCTTGTCTCAGCTGTTCGCTTGAAGCTATCACAGGCTCACTCGATGCCGGGGTTATGACCTAAGTCCGCACGACTCGCTCTCGGCTTCGGACATTATAAATGAGCATACGGAACATTAACGCGAACGAATGAGTCAACTAACAAACAATTATTAATCGGATCCGTGCTGATGAGGGTCCAGACGAGACTTCCAGTCTGTTTGATGCCGTTTCGCTTCATTCGATGCTTGGTGATTTGCTCTCGCTTCCTCCGAGCTCACACGGGCATAACTTTAAATACAGTCCCATAGAGCTAGCTTCGATGATTTCATTGATATCTGTTCATATTTCTCTATTGTATCTGTTTTTACGAGATTTGCCCGCCAGCATGTCAATCTTCATGCTCTCTCCACACCTTCCATATCGTGTTTCACTCTCCCAAGTTTATTGTATTTGAGGAGCTAGGAGCTCATAGGAACATCTCGGCCCGCGCCTGATTAATTTTCTTTGTTATAATAACCTGTGTGAAAACTCACAGCTTCCTGTTTCCTTTTCCGTTGGTGCAATACATACGGCACTGGGGCATAGAGCTGTTTCCGCGCTGAGGACATACTTCTCACGCTTCTCAGGATGTCGTCCACCGACGAGAAGAATGACGTCGAGAATCGACAAGCAGATAGTCGTGTCGGGAGCGAAAAAACCAAGATAGATGGGGAACAAAAGCCATACGGACGTCCTTCATCATCGAAATCCAGCCTGACTGAAGTCCTGGGCTCACCACCTCCAGAACGAAGATTGAGCAAAGGATCCGATAATCTAGGCCACGATGTTTTGGATTCCCTAACAACACAGCAACCCGTAAACGAGGACCCAGAAAAACAAGAGGCAGAAGCTCGCCCTCCCGTAAACCCTATGATGGACCCAAGCTCGTTTCCTGACGGCGGAATTGAGGCATGGACGGTGGTTTTCGGGGGGTTCTGTGCTTTGTTTGTGAGCTTCGGATGGATCACTTGTAAGCCAAATGCGTTACTTTTGTTTACATTCTCGGAAATATTTTTTTGCCCAAGACACAAGTCCGCACGACCACCCTCTGACGTATATATTAGGCATCGGCGTGTTCCAGGATCACTACCAGAATAACCAGCTGAAGGCCTACTCACCTAGCACTATCGCCTGGATTCCGTCCCTTGAGGCATGCATGATGTTTTTGGTTGTATGTCGAAAAGAAGCACCATCCTGAACCATATCAAATATTAGCCTGAAAGAAACCGTACTGACCATTTACTCCATGGGTAGGCGCCCTTTTGCGGCAAAATATTCGACAACTACGGGCCTCGATATTTGCTCATAGGTGGATCGTTTTTCCATGTGTTTGGTTTAATGATGGCATCTATATCAACCGAATACTACCAAATCCTCCTGGCCCAGGGCATTTGCAGTGCACTTGGCGCTGGATCGCTTTTCTATCCTTGTGTCAATAGCATCACAACTTGGTTTTTCAAGAGACGGGCTTTGGCGTTTGGAATTGCGGCCAGTGGCTCAAGCATCGGTGGAGTGATATATCCTATCATGGTGGCGAAGCTAGTTCCGCAGGTGGGATTTGGCTGGACTATGAGGATTTGCGCCTTTCTCATCCTGGGCTTATGCATCATTGTAAATCTGACGGTAAAGTCGAGGATACCACCTCAGCCGAAGCCGTTCAAATTCAAGGACTTCATGACCCCCTTCACAGAGCTGCCATTCCTCTTGACCACGTCAGGCGCATGGCTATCCTTCTTCGGGCTATTCTTACCGTTCACATTTATCGTCTCGACTGCTCGCTACTATGGGATGTCGCCACGTCTAGCAGGTTATCTTGTTTCAATCATGAACGGAGCCAGGTATGCCCATTCCCACAACTTAGAGCAAAATCCTCTTGAGTCTCCCTCCACAAACTCCCTTAAAACAGCCCATCCAGGTTAGACATTAACTAAGAGACCATATATAGCACGGTCGGTCGTATCCTGCCGGGCCATGCCGCTGACGTCTTCGGCCGTTTCAATGTCATGGTAATAACCAGTGTACTGAACGTCGTTATGGTCCTGGCTCTCTGGCTGCCCGCCCGGGGCAACATCCCCATTCTCCTGTTTTCCGCTTTTTTCGGCTTTACCTCCGGCGCCTTTGTTTCCCTTAACCCAGCGTTGGTAGCGCAAATCTCCGACGTGCGCCAGATCGGTATACGCACAGGTGTGATGTTTGCTGTCTCATCCTTAGCCAGCCTTACGGGAAACCCTATCGGCGGTGCCCTTGTGGGGAACATCGAACAACCGACGTTCTGGCGGATGCAGTTGTTCTCGGGAATTGTTATGGCTGGAGGGGCTGTGTTTTATGCTCTTGCTAGGTTGAGGTTGACTGGTTCGAAGTTGAAGACAAAGTTTTGAAAAAAAAAAAAAAAAGTAAGAAAAGAAAAAGAAAAAGAAAAGTTGATGTTTTCGTGAGCGCAAGGGGCCCGCGTTATTTAGTACATGAGCACTTTTTTGCTCGCTGTTTGTTCCCTTCCTTTCAGTCCATTGTTCCTTTCTCCCTCGGATTATATGATTATCGTTCTTCATTATTGTATTCCTTTTTCTCCCACTTTCTCGGCGTTCTCCTGCATTCTTGGCGTTGTGCACAAATTATACAGCTCACCCGCTTCTATTTTGCAATATTTCGATCCGAACAGTTGGTCTTCATGTAGATGTATATAGACTTATATAGAGACATTGATTAACGATAAATGATAGACTGCGGCTTTCGGGTAACAAAGGATTCCTATCCCAAGGGTTGCTTAGGGATTTACAGGAGTCACATTCCAAGAGTCACATGGAGACGTTCAACGAATCTCAGAAACCCGTAGGATCGCTCGATTCCTCAGCGATAATGGCGCTGTTCGAGTCCAAGGCCGGCTGGATTGCGGGATCGAGGGGAGTTTGATGGGGAGCGTCCGTTGGATGTTAGACAAAGCCCCCCTATTTGTTCTCCTGATCTCGTTGCCCCGACAACACACCCAATGATCGTCTCTTCACAACGTTCCTCTTCTCTTTTCACCCACAAATGTGTTTTTGGCCTTGAAGGGTTTGCCCAGCAGATAGGCAGGATCTCCCAGCAGCAAAGGTAAGTATACGCAACTTGCTTTTCTTTTCTGTTCTTTCATTTTCATTTTCGTTTTCATTTTTTTCATTTCATTTTCTTGTTTTTGTTTGGGTTATCTTTCTTTTCCTTTTTTGTTGGTTGTTTATTGTCTGCCATTCGAACGTGAAATAAAACACAAACACGGCGTGAATGGCACACGTAAGTTGAGATTCAAGAGATTATTATTTTTTTTCGGCTTCAATATCTGTGGCTTCCGTTTGGTTTTTGTCTCCCCCTATATTTATTTACTATATTATTATACACCTTTCCCTTTCACCGTCGAAATTGGCGGCAAACACATCCATTGCGTTCCTCCACACCCCACCAACTCGATAAGTTCCCTATTGAGTAGGCATGAGCGTTCGCGTCATCGCACGAATCCGGCCCCTTCTCAAATCGGAGAAGGAAAGCGATATCATCGTCCGCTCCGGAACGGCGGCCATCCCTGCTATAACGAATACGCGGCCCCCAGCGGCTTCATTGCCACAGCAGCAGTTGTGCTCTTCCAAAAGTGATGGGAAATCGACGACAACAACGGCATTGAAGGGCAAAAGGCAGAAAGATGGGGCGAATGCGGCTCTAGCGCTGGATCGAGATAATCTGGTGCGCATTCCAAATCCAAAGAATGAAGGGGAGGAATATAGCTTTCAGTTCAATGGGGTGTACGGGCCGGAAGTATCGCAGCAGGAGATTTTTGATGGCGAGGGTGAGTTTTTGTCCCCTCTAGTTTCTCCGCTTCCAGGGACCTGTCTTGCCTTTTTTTTTTTTTTTTTTTTTTTTTTTTTTTTTTTTTTGGTTATGGAGAGCAACCCCTGGAGGAGGAGGACGAGGAGTGCTCAAGCTCAAGTTGGGAAGCTAACAGCAGCAAACATTCAGTTGCTCCAACGATAAAACATCTTTTCAACGGTTTTGATGTGACGATATTCGCTTACGGGGTTACGGGAACTGGCAAAACACATACAATGCGTGGCGGGAAAAGTCTCCAGGATAGAGGTGTCATTCCACGACTCTTGAGTGGCATTTATAGACGGAGTCGTAAGGTTGAAAGGGATAGCCAGGGCGCCACTAAGGTGGATGTGGTCATGAGCTACTACGAGATATATAATGACAAGGTGTTCGATCTTTTTGAGCCACCAGAGAAGAGAACGCCTGCGGGTCTGCCCTTGCGGGATGCAGGTGGAAAGACTGTAGTAGTTGGGCTGACTGAGCGGCCATGCACGAGCTTGAAAGAATTTGAAACGTTGTATGATCATGCCAATGTGAATAGGTCAACTTCAGCAACGAAGGTGGGAGAAATCAGCCAGACAAATATCACCAAAGTAGTCATTACTAACAGGGGATAATATAATAGCTCAACGCCCATTCGTCGAGGTCTCATGCAATCCTCTGCGTTAAGCTAGTTGTTACAACTGCTGAGCAGACCCGCGTGAGCCTTGCGTCATGCATTGATCTTGCTGGATCCGAAGATAATCGTCGAACTGACAATGATAAGGAGCGCATGGTAGAATCTGCTAGTATAAACAAAAGCCTATTTGTGCTTGCTCAATGCGTCGAAGCAATCAGCAAAAAGCAATCCCGAATCCCCTACCGTGAATCGAAAATGACGAGAATACTGTCTTTGGGCCAAAACAATGGACTAACCATCATGATTTTGAATCTCGCTCCGATACGCTCATATCATCTTGATACGCTCAGTTCGCTTAACTTTGCGAACCGTACGAAGAAGATAGAAGTACGAGAAATCGAAAACGAGCCCATGTTCAAGGGGCCTCCACGGCCAACCGTTCGGGGATCCGGGACAACTGGGCCCGTAATACACCGCCAACCTTTACGGCCTCTCACGGCTTCGATCAACGCAAATATAGTACTACCGACTGCGACGGATTCCTCAAAACCAGCAGAATCCAAACCTGTTAAGGCGTTCTCTGTGTACTCTGACAAGCTACAGTCGAAGCCACCTTCCAACGTCAAACGGTTTGTCCCTTCGAGGCGATCATCGCCGTTGAAACTTAGAGCTGATGCAATTGGTGTCGACACATTTCGACCATCGAAAGTGTTTCGGCCTGTAGATGCTAGCTCACATGCTCTAGAGGGCATATCTACGGCAAAGATAGAAGAAATGGTGGAACGAAAGGTTGAGGCAGTTCTCGCCGCCCGAGCATTGAATGAAGCTGGGAAGCAACAACGTGACAGCGACCATTCTTCTAACAATGAACTCAATGAGCAAGTGCAACGCCGACTCGAATTACTTGAGCAAAGGATTGAAGGGAAAGCGGACGCGAGAGCGGAAGGGTTATCCTACCTCTTGATGGGAAAGCAGCACCAGTCAAGAGGGGAGGATTCATCAGCTCTAAGAATGTATCAGTTGGCTCAACCATTTTTCCCTTGCAACGAAAAACTGGACACTAAAATAAGAGCATTGAAAGAGAAGTTGGTGATATGCAAGGGACAGGTGCCGCTGTCGTTTCCAATGTCAGCAGAGAACTGTGATACAGGGCCGGAAACGAAGCGTCCAAAAAAACGAAAGAGATATGCGAAAGATGAAAGTTTCAATTCTGCAGATCATGTTGGCGATGTCAGTGACTCCCAACCATCCGATCCGAATGAGCAATTCAGTGATGAAGAAATAGCCTATCCGTATACCCAGCCGTCAAAAAGACCTGTGGCGCCTAATAATGGCAAATCTCGAAAGCCGTCATCTGTCCCCTTACCATATCAAACACTAACTAAAAGAGATGCAAGCGTTACTGCTGACGAACCAACCGATGTGAAACATACCCCACGCACCCGTCACATTATTTCAACAATAAATACCAGGAACGTCGATCAGATAAAGCTGTTGCGGGGCGTTGGGATAAAGAAAGCCGAGGCCATCGTTGACTGTCTATGTGAAATGGATACACGGTATGCCCAGGAGAGTCATGAAAACAACGCCAGCGATATCGTGCAGATACGAAGTTTAGCAGAGCTTGGGAAGTTGAAAGGGGTTGGTGCGAAAACAGTGGAGAATATGAGGAACGCGATTTAAGCGATATTCCGGTCTCTCTGATTGATTGCCATAAAGCGCCGATGACTGAGCTGTTATGTTGGAAACGGTCAGCTGTGTGCGGGGGTGCTGGAAGGGATGTTTTGGAGGGTGGCAGATGTCTTCAACTTACTTTATTTCTTTGGTTCCTATTATTTCGACTCCACAACTTGTCACCGTTTTTTTTCCTTTATTGTCCTTGCTTTGCATCTCATCGCTTCAGGTGCATATTTCCAACTATTTTTGTTATCATTGTCGGCTATCAAGCAAGGCGTATTTGGAGTTTATGCCATTATTTGATATATGGTTTTACTTTTCTTTTGAAATGATACCAGTTTTGTTCTTGTTATTTACTTGGATTTTCTGCATCTATCAACGCTTCTATTGGGTGATTGTTCTTGATCTTGGGAGGAAATATTGAGCATCCAAAACGTTACTACCGCACCAAGCCGGCGACGCACCAATTTCCAATCATAAATCATTCAGCTCAAGAACGGAAATTGGATGATGGAAAGCCGGCAAACAAAATAGAATGAGAGAAAGGCTAACTAACAAGCAGTGTATCCCCATCAATTACCAACCAGTCCCCCGTCATGAGTCTACTGGCACCGCTCAACAAAAAATGACTACACCGGTTCACCAACCGTTCCAGCATATTCTCCGACTCCCCAGTCCTCCTCAGACCCTTCTCTCAAACGTTTATTCCACCATTGATGTCAGAATGTGCCCTGGGCACAATGAATTAACTCTAGTCCTCTTGTCAGGCTCCTTTCTTTCTAGTTGGATAGCCGCTACCTTGGATGAGGTATACACTAGTGCGTTAAGCCCCTTGATGGTTACAAGCCTGCTCATACTTGCCGCCAGCATGATTAAGCCGACACATTCATATTCCATCATCTTCCTTGCAACCACCTGCACTGTCATGAAGAGGCCCATATCCATGGTTTTTGTCACATTTTCGGGTGAGTAGTCAATAGCATTGGTGGCTTGGAAGATTCTGGCCGTTGCCACGAGGCAGTCAAGGCGCCGGCTGCGGGACGCGACTCCGCTTATGGTGAACGTCGCACGTCGAGTTGATGGAGTGCAGGGAGCCGACGTGCTCACGGCTGGCTAGACCTAGGGTGGCTAGGAACTCCGCGTCAGGACTTCGGAGATGGCCGATGTAACGGACTTAGGTTGGCAAAGTAGAATTAGATTCTAGAGCCAGAGGGGTTTCGTTTTTCTATAGAGATTGGGAATATATGTGATATTCCAGATGATCGCTTTACTAAAGCTGTAAGCCTCGCTGCCTGCTCCAGCTTCGGGCCATCGCTTCTTCCATACAGAGTCCCAACACTCTGCCGTCCCCGGGGACAATATCCAGGTTTACCCCTGACGCTGAATTGGCGCCATGGGAGAGTAGCGGACTCCATATATTGGTTTTTGTGAAAGCATTTGAAAACTTCTGGACATTTTTATTTGCCAGCAGTAGATAGGGAGAATGGATTTTGTGATTCCGATTGTAAGCTATTGTTCTATGCAGATTGGGGACAAAAATCTTGACATTGTCTGGTTCATCCTGGCTGAGAGGGGCTAACCATGTCTTCACATAGTTCTGGAAACGTTCAAGCATATGGAGAGAAAAATCTGCCACGGAATATGGAATGCCAGCACATATGTATATGCGACATGTAACTTATTAATGGAAAGTACAGTACATAACATGCATCACCGCTGGAAATTGGTTGGTTGGGATGTATGACGTCACATATACAGCTCATGTTGTCCTGCAATAGCCGCTGATTTGCAATTTTGGTAGTGATGATTTGTCAATACAATTCGCATAAAAACTAGTCCGAAATTGTTAGATTCCCTGTGCTTCTCCTTCATCTGTTATTTTTTCGTCCTCCGACATGCACAGAAGATCAGGAAATAATGGGCCCAAAGTAGCAATTTTCCAACTTCTATTCTCGAGTGACTACTATAGACGACCAAAATGCTAATCCACTCAACTGCACAATCGATCTCAGGAAACAAGGCATTCTGTTTAAGGGAACCTGCGGAAGGTATCCGCAAGTTTATCAATTGGGGCCATCATGAATCCAATGACGCTCTCAAAGGCAGGCTGGTTGGGTGCTGCAGGGTGCAAGCGTGTTGGAACGAACATTTTTGTTCTTTTGAAAGATTTGGAGAGTTCTTCACTATCCTCATTGCTGATAGCATTCTCAAGAGCGGGGAGATTGTCCCCTTCCTCATCTCTCATATGCGCGGACAGATTGTCCATGAGAGAGTTGACTGTCGGCTCGAAGTTTGCATCTGTCGGCTTCATGGATTGGAACTCCATAAGCTGCTCCTTGGTCTAATTTTTTTTTTTTTTTTTATCTTGGTATTAGCATTCTTTGGCGTCCTCATTTTGTGACATAGCTAGGGATTCTGAAACATTATCCCTCCATTCACGTACCTTCTGATGCCGCTCGCGATCCTTCTCTACCCGCTCCTTACCATCTGCTAAATGTTTTTCCAAAGCCGGATAAAGCAGAAGCTCCTCAGCTGCAGAATGGCGAGCCAACTCCCATACAAACTGGTTTTGAAACCTAGTTTTGATAATATCATTATCGGCATTGACTATCTGGTTATGGAATGCCTCCAGCTCTTTGTGGTCTTTTGTGACCGAATCAGATATAGAAACCATGGCGACGGGGGTGGTATGCGATAGATAGATAAACTGCAAGGTCAAAACGATACAGGAGATAACCAGCTCTAGTCGAAGGTTAGCTTTTAAGGGTTCGATGTCATTATTATAGATAGGATTTAAATAGCATTCGGCTTGCTGGGAGGGATGATGTAACTAGGGTATGACATAGTTGACCACGTTATTCGATGGTGAATCTTTCTTGATGATGCAATGTTTCCAAGTTAGGACTCCCTCTTCAGTTCTTGTATGTACAGTACCATAGACCGCTCGCCAATGCGCAAGATCCTTTTAAGTCAATATGCCAAAGCGGTTATTTCGCAGGCAGCAGAAAATAGAGTTGACAAGCCCATCCGTATCAGTGGTGTCCCAGGCCTTAGAATTGGGAATGACATTGAAGGAGAAATCATCTCTTAATTGAACAAGCAGCATTTTCCCTTCCCATACCTCAGGCATTGTGCGCAGTACTGGTGTGAAACAATGAATGGCACGCCATTTTGAGATTCTTCACCACTGCTCTATGGTCATTTCCATTCAATATCCATGATCTGTGTCTCAATTTATGCCTCAAGACCGATTCCAGGGCTCCATGAACATAGACCTGCCCTCAAGGGTGGAAAATATCAAACATTGCAGTATCATCTGCATGTCATGCATTGCCCTTTAGGTACTCCATCCCCTCATAGCTGCTTTCATTCCCAATCCGATTACCTTCATATCTGACCTGAATTCGTGCACTGCTTTGTTTTCATATGGCACAGATGGGATCATGTGATTTTTTTTCTACAAGTAAATCCAAGTCCTGGCGCCCACTTCAATGCTCCTACGAAACAAAATTCGAAAAAAGTAACTATAAAGAAACAAATAAAAGTATAAAAAAAATCACTACAATTGGGATGTCCAATTTCAAAATACCAGTAAGACGATGCCCCCCGTGCACCTACTACTAGTTATAGAAAATGGGGTTGTCAAACCCTCCAAACAGCACAAATTAAGGCCACCGTACATCAATCACAACCACCACTAACTCTCCCTTGCTTTGATTCAGCACCTTCTGAAACAACGTCCAACCCATCAGTTCGTTCAACTCCACACATTCTGCCTTGTGCCTACTAGGCCAATGTGTTCTATACACATTTCTATTTAATTTTAAAATCCGTAAGAACTCCAGATCCTCCCATAACCCCTGTCGTTTCTGGACAATATTGCCTGGGGAATTGACACGACAGAGATAACCAACTAGCCTCATCTCCGCGTCCTGCATCCCCAATTTTACTCATAAAAGGATTTGGGCATATTCGTGGACTCTCTGTAACCTCCGGAACCAGTTTCTACGTTCGCGATGGCGGCACCACAGGGCGGCTTTCCTCCTGGAGGCCACCCTCAAGATGAGTATAGTCAACCACAACAATACGCTGAGGAACAACGCGGAAGCGCAGACTCTCCAGCTCAGGCCGATGCGCCGACCCACGGGCAAATTCCTCATGGTGGTAAAAAGAAACGAGCATACGCCGGCCAGGCTTATGAGTTTGGAGCTGGTCCAAACGCTGCCTTGGGGGGTCAGTTACAAGGCGGTGGGGCGTACGGCGGGTATCCTGCCCCTCAACAACCGCACGGTTATCCGCAAACTGTTTATGGGACGGAGCCAGTCCAAACTGCTCCTCAAATGGCTGGCCAGCCGGAACTAGTAGCCGTTGGCGGATATCAAGCTCCAGTCGATCCCTATCCGTCTCAGCCTGTCAATATGAGTCAAGTAACCCAACAGATGGGTCAGATGAGTATGGGTGGTCAGCCAGCAGGACAGCAGATGCCAGTTCAAAGAAGTGTCCCGCTCAATACGCTATATCCTACGGATCTTCTAACACAGCCGTTCAATGTCGCTGAACTAGACTATCCTCCTCCACCAATTGTTTTGCCTCCCAACGTGAGTTGACATCCTCTAGATATGATCGAGGTTTCGGGCTAACCAGTTCCAGACCAGTGTCACCCCTTCTCCAACATCGAATTGCCCTCCAAAATATGTGCGCTCTACTCTAAATGCTGTGCCCACTACGCATTCTCTTTTGAAGAAGTCTCGTCTACCATTTGCGTTGGTTATCCAGCCTTATGCATCGCTGCATGACGCTGAAGATCCGATCCCTATCGTGTCTGATCAAGTAATTTCTCGTTGCCGGCGATGCCGTTCCTATATCAATCCCTTCGTCACGTTTCTTGATCACGGTCATCGCTGGCGTTGCAACATGTGCAACCTTGTCAACGACGTTCCTCAAGCATTCGACTGGGACGCAGCCTCGCAAAAAGCCCTTGACAGATGGCAGAGACCGGAGCTTAACCATGCTATTGTGGAGTTTGTGGCGCCTCAAGAATATATGGTCCGGCCGCCACAGCCTCTCGTTTATTTGTTCCTGATCGATGTCAGTTTCGCATCCGTCACCAGCGGGCTCCTGGCCACCAGCGCGCGTTGCATCCGCGAAAGCCTTGATAGAATACCAAACGCAGATCGTCGAACCAGGCTTGGTTTTGTTGCTGTGGATTCTAGTCTCCATTACTTCACTATACCAAGAGATGGCTCGGAGAATTCAGACCCAGGCATGTTGGTTGTCAGCGATTTGGACGAGCCTTTCCTGCCTATTCCTGGAGATTTGTTAGTCACTCTCACAGAATGCCGCGAAAACATCGAGCTGTTCCTGGATAAACTGCAGGAAATGTTCCAAAATACGCAAAACAATGGTTCATGCATGGGTTCTGCCCTTCGAGCTGGTCATAAACTCATAGGGCCTGTTGGTGGAAAGATAACGGTATTGACAGCATCACTTCCTAATATGGGTTTCGGAAGTCTTGAACTGAGAGAGGATAAGAAAGCGCTTGGAACCAGTAAAGAGAGTTCTTTGCTTCAGACCGGTAACAGCTTCTACAAGAGCTTTGCTGTCGAGTGTTCGAAGCAGCAGATTTCTGTAGATATGTTCCTGTTTTCTTCTCAATACCAGGATGTGGCATCGCTTAGCAATCTTCCCAGATATACCGGCGGCCAAACTTACTTCTACCCTGGTTGGAATGCGGCCCGGAGCGAAGATGCAATCAAATTCGCCAAAGAGCTCTCAGACTATCTTTCGGCAGAAATCGGCCTGGAAGCTGTCTTGCGTGTGCGTGCCACGACTGGTTTGAGAATGAGCACGTTTTATGGCAATTTCTTCAATAGAAGCTCGGATCTCTGTGCTTTCCCGGCATTTCCCCGTGACCAAGCATACGTTGTGGAGGTCGCCATCGATGAAACCGTCACGAAACCAGTGGTTTGCTTGCAGACGGCTGTGCTTCATACAACTTGCAATGGAGAACGAAGAATTAGAGTCATAACATTGGCCCTGCCTACGACACAGTCTCTCGCAGATGTCTATGCTTCGGCAGATCAGTCAGCAATTGTTACCTACTTCAGTCATAAAGCAGTTGAACGTACTCTCGGCAACGGCCTTGAACAAGCCCGGGATGCACTTCAATCCAAAATTGTAGAGCTATTGTCAACATATAGAAAGGAACTTGCAGGCGGAAGTGTCGGTGGTGGAGGGTTGCAGTTCCCCACTAATTTACGAGGATTGCCTGTACTATTCCTGGCACTGATGAAAAACGTAAGAACACATTACACGGCCATCTTACAACAATGAATCATGAACTAACCAAGCCCAAATAGATCGGCTTCCGAAAATCTTCTCAGATTCCCACGGATATGCGATCCGCTGCCCTTTGCCTTCTGTCAACACTGCCACTCCCTCTTCTGACCCAGTACATCTACCCGAAACTATACTCGCTTCACGATATGCCCGACAATGCTGGTGTGCCCGACGAGAATACCGGAGAAATCACGCTGCCACCACCTTGTAACCTATCATCCGAGCGCCTCGTGCCGTATGGCCTCTACCTCATCGACGACGGGCAGACGCAATTCCTCTGGGTCGGCCGTGATGCTGTTCCACAACTGCTTGTGGATGTTTTTGGTGTTGCCGATAAAGCACAGGTGAAGGTTGGGAAGCAATTTTTACCGGAACTTGAGAACGATTTCAGCGAGAGGGTGCGTGCTGTCGTGCAGAAAAGTCGCGATAAACAGTCTCGTGGTGTTGGTAGCATTATCGTTCCCCACCTTTACGTTGTGAAGGAGGAAGGGGAGCCTGGATTGCGACTATGGGCACAAACTATGTTGGTTGAGGACCGGGCTGACCAGGGAGTCAGTTTGCCGCAATGGATGGGATCGTTGCGGGAAAAGGTATGACCTTGATTTTCTTGGTCCTATCCTATCCTATCATGCATAGGGTTGATCTAGTACACATTTGTTTTTGCTTTCATTGTGCTTGTTCTCGGCCTTTGTGGCTTTTCTTCATCCCGTAGCTTCATGTTTTGCTAACGTGTGACATTTTCGGAATTTACAGGTTATACAGTAAAAGGGCACAGGAGAGTGGTTGTGATGTATCACGTTCTAGAGAAAATATGCTTCCCTCGCCCCGTCGTCATATTCTCCAGGTTAATCAATCAATTCATATTCCGCATCTTCGAGAGAGAAAAAATTCCATTTATTTTCGTTGCTAAATCTCATTCAACATTTCCTTCTTCTCACCAAGCTGTAAACAAAATGAAGAAGAATAATTTTTCTCCAGCACGTATATAACCTGCCTAGAAGAGTATACAGAAAAGAAGGCATGGATAACCATTAGCTCTGAACCTTTTTCTTTCCATAACTAGACAAAAACATTTATGTCATGGCACTCCATATATGTATTTGCCCCCGAGTAACCCAGACACCCGCAATGAAACATGTCTAGAATTACCTTTTTTTCATATTTATATGAAATGATAAAAATTAGCAGGGGAGCTTTAGGAATGGATACAGAGTACGGCTGCGCTGGTGCAAAAAAAAAAAAAAAAAAAAAAAAAAAATCCGAAAGAAAATCATATAAACAGGGTCTTGCCGCGACTCGAACGCGGGGCCTCTCGCATATCAGATTAAGTGCACTTAATCGGGCAAACCCGAAGCGAGAATCATACCACTAGACCACAAGACCATCAACTAGTGCAAGCATTGGGAGCTTTTTGACATTTCAACAGGGAATCTAACCAGCTCGTAGCCAGCCCCTTTCCGTATCTCAAACAGGACCTCAACATCTAGCAAGGTGAAGCCAGGCAATTGAAACCGGATGACAAAGGACTATTTCAGGCTTCATGAGGTCTCATAACCCTCTAGCTACCTCGAGCATATATATATATATATATCACAACCTCCTTGGAAATTCCGCGCTTATAGGCTAGATACTTGAGCACAACGTCTCCGAAGCAAGAAATGCTGATTCAATCTTATCACTCTCTTGAAATAAACAACACGGACGAGCTGCTGGAGGAATCCTGACATGGCTTCAGAAATGTCTCCTCTCTCATTTGCGCAGTAACAAGCGGGAGATTCCATGTAGGTAAGTTAAAATACTACCCCTTAAAAATCCAGGGCCATGGAAGAGCATTTAAGGGTAGAGCATCGATTTTGATCCGCCGCTCTTTTCCTCTTTCACTTCAATAAGATATTTCACTTGTGAAATGAGCCGTGCGTAGAATCTTTATACATGCCTGATTAAGGAAGGGGGAGATGGGGAATTTATACATGCATCGATGAAACGTTGTCAGTGGATTTATTTAATTATTTATGGAGGGGTGAATTTTTAACATTTGACAAGTTGATGCATTTTCTAATATTTCTGAATGACCACCACCAGCGAAGCTCAACATTGTCTTGGTCATTGGGTGCCGATGAATATCAACTAGCATCAGGGGAAGGAAGCTTTTTCTGCCACATTAGTAGCTTAATTCATTCTCTTTGTTTTTACTTCATTTTGATTTTATTTATTTGCTTATAACATGATAAATAGATAAATCCCTAGAACACAAGGAAGGCTAGCCAAATACTTGTTATTTGTACACATATATCTTTGAGTGGCGTATATAAGATCAATGTTTCAACATATACTTATCACATTGAAGTGAGATGATGGGGTAATGAAAAGAAAAAAGAGATGATTCAACGATGGGGCTGATCAGGAGCTGCAATGCACACAGTGGTACCGTGAGATCCTTTGAAACTACACCAGCTATCTTCTCAGAAATAAGAAAATAAGAATCCAGATGGTCCAGGGTCGCTGCGAAATCTCGGTGGACTAGATTCTGAAGGGCTTAGCAGTAAGCTGAAACACATGTCAATTAATATCCATGGCGTTCACTAAAAGAAGCTTGAGCAAAGGAAAAGGGAAAGTCCGTTGGAAAACTTCTCCTTCCTTGAGCACTCGGCAATGTTGCATGGTTAGAGAGGTTTGAGAAGTATCGAAGTATTTTCGCAACCGCTTCTTTCTCTTCTCTCCGCCGCAGCAGCTCCGGCCTTTAGAGATTGAAAATAATAATAAGTAGATTGAATAACTGGGCGGCTAAAACCAGCAGCTTGGTTCAGAATTCTTTTCTCGCTCCCGTCCTTGTTGCATATGGGAAGTCCGGACGATATTTTAGATCGCTGGGGAGATAAGACCCTGTTGATCTAAATGTTATAATAATTGTCTGATAAGGTAATATTTGGTGGGGAACTTCACCAGAATAGTACGCGATTTATCCTGTTTCATGAGGTTCTCGATTGACTTATGCCCCTCTCCTCCACTGGCCTTGGGAATCTGCCATTGGGCCAATCGCCAGCTAGACCGTCGGGTGATCCACGAATCGAATGGAATGACAGCAGTTTGATTTGGGCAGGAAATATATATATATATATATATATATATATATATATATATATTTTTT